AAACTAATAATTAGGCACTTTTTTATATTAAAGTGGAAATAAACCTCTTATTTGTTGACAGAACGTGTTGAAATGTGAATACAAATGTTGTATAAACATAGTTCTTACTCAAACACGGTGAACTGAGCAGGTACTTCCTACAGAAATAATTCTTTTATCACATCATCAGTGTTTACAAAGCTAATTGTTCTGATTCATATAAGTTGGCAGCAAATCGTGATTCTTAATCAACCTTCATGAGTAATGCCCGATTGAATGAAACATTAGTTACGAACTAAATAATGGCTTTCAAATATTCAAACACGGTTCCTTTCAGTATCGAGACTAATCAACCGTTATTAAGAGCAATTAATTAATTTCTTGATTAAATTCTTAAACTGTCTTCTGTTCGCTTAAATATCTTACTTTTGCACGCCTCTGCAATTTCCTTCGTCTTATTTGATCAACAAATTAACAAGTATGCCGTTATCTTGATCCACTTAGAGGATACGATCAGTTTCAGCTGCCTGACTCATTTTACCATTACTGTTTTGTTGTTATAGTAGGTACATATTAACTGTAATGTATTTTCTGTCCTCTCTATCCCAATATTGTTCGACAGTTATCGCTATCAGTAATATTGTTTCCTCCAATAAATCAAACAATATCTAACTAACCTTTCTCCAAACAACGGGTCTACAAGGCACCACTGATGTTATCAGAACAAGTTTCCCATTGCTTTCCCATTTGTACGTGTTATGTCATGTCACTCCGGAATATGACCATTAAGATAAGAGTATGATGCGGGTACGAGGTACCAGGCGGCGACAGGTTAATGAATAAAACAGCAACAATGGTCCCGCAGGCAACCTGTGCAGACTTAACTACAGGCTGTCATTAAAATTCAAAGGTCGGTACAACCCGGCACGCTACGTTCACGTAAACTATTAACGTCTATTGTTTTGTGCAAGAGGTTTAAATGTAGATGTTGGATGTGTGCTTGTTCTATTCAGAATTCAAGGTCCTTAATAAAAATATTCTCACAATAATGCTTTTTTGAAAATTCCTGGGAAGTCTTGGTTTGAGTTTTCCAAGGCTTTTTGTTCTTTTGCGTCGGTTGTTTTGAATACGAGTTAAGTGTCCAGCTATTATATTTAACCACCCAATTCTGTATGTAGAATCTTCTGTATGTTTACAAACGCCCTAACGAGTAACAGCGGTAATTATAACTAACGACAGATCTTTAAATGCGAAGCGACGAGGTTCCAAATTAAAACAAACGAGGTTCTACTTGAGTAGGTAGATGTATATGCTATTATTTGAATTTATTTGTACTTGGTCATGCTTTCTGTTATATTGTATGTACTGGAATATATGAGTATTCTTATATAGCTCAAGTTTTCCCTAACATTTAATACGCAGAAATGTTTGATACTGTTAACATTATTTTCCTTTACAGGTGTTAATACACCTTTAGTTATGTTACCTAAGGAGGAACTAAATGGTCTGCGGTCATTTTAATCAATGATAATCTAAACGTCGGAGCACCATCATCGATCAGCGCCATATCTCTGATATCTAATATTAGAATTAAGTTATATTAAGTCCCCAATTTATCACTTACCAGCCCATACACAATTGTAATCGTCGGGACAGAAGTGGGTCGTTCAGCTTGGTTCTGGCACATTGCCAACTTACTGAAACTTGAACGTGGCCCAAGTTCAGCGATTGCAATATGTCGTTACTTACTGACTAAGTACAAAGCGTTTACTCTTAAACTTTCAGCGCAACCTGTTCAACCTTTCGCTAAAGAAACATTGATTTTAATTTATTAAATCTCGACCCGAAGTGGACGGCTCAACGAGAGATCAGTTTATTCGAGTTACTCATCAAGAATGCAATACTAAGCGGTTTTGAGAGCATTGACTCCACCAGACCATTGCATACTTTAAACAGGCAATTTTCGCTTACGTACCTAAATGCTAAAACATTCAGTACATAGTACCTATGTATATCTCTGTTTCACTGTTCTCTAAGCTCATTAAAAGTTAAAACGGGCACGTCAATGTTTGAGTTGGGAATTAAAGGGTGAAATTAAACTTAAATAAAAGCAGACGAAGGCTAAATTTGGCGTAACATAAATGCTTAACTTTACGAGAAGGTTGAAAAACAAGAATGTTTTTCCCGGACTGTCTCAAATCCCTATCCACAAACAATCCCGGCTTAGCCGAGGCGGTACGTGTGAGATTGCCTGTCCCCGCCTTTGTTCGCAGCGTCAAGGCCGTGCCACCCCAAGGGTGTCCTGCGTTTATATACTTTATGCGACATTTGCCAACCGTCGCGTCGCCATGCACTGAACCCGAGCTAAAAATAACAGATAACGTAATACTCTGTGTTCTATAACATATCCAAGTATATCCGAAACTCGTCACTTTTATCAGCACAAAGCCTTGTGACTCACAGTTCAAAATATGCTAATTTACGCATTAAGTAAATATTCAAATGGAATTTAGACTCCGACAATTTTGAACATCTTTCCTCCTTTATACAAATTCAGTGACGTAATCTCTTCAGGATGTTAAATACAGCAAAATATGCTTCAAATTATAAATGTTATCGTTCAAAGATTATTAATTTTATTTGTAAAGAAGGTTCAAATGATTTTCAGGTGTAATATTTCTTTAAAACATGAAGTGTCGAAATTGACCTAAGGAGCCTTAGCGCATTGGGTTTAAAATAAATATGAATTTTTGGTCCACAAGCTTGTTAAAAAGGTTGATTATGTGGGTCCCGTGGAGCCTCTCGGTATTAAACATTACCATATAAAGGTCGAGGAGCGAGAGTCGCGCTGATGTTTTTATGTGACGGTAAAACAGGCCGGGGAATAAATGGCTTCATGCCCTCTAATTAACGGCTGAAGTGGCAAATAAAATAAATCGCCGGTTAAAAACGTTCGAAATAGTGCATTGCTCATAAATATGTTTCTTTTATTTGATTTAGCTGACTTTTTCCTGAAATAGCATTAACTTCTGGGTGTGAGTGACAATTGTTGAGTTTTTGTGATTTGCAAAATTTCGGTATTTGTGGTCAGAATATTTTTTTGGGAAATAATTTGCGTGGCAGATGCTACTTTTTTAATTTCACTAAAAGGAGAAACCCGATCGTGCGTTTTAGTTGTTGATTAGTCATCAAGCTCGGATAGATGATTTTTTATCAATGTTTCTTACAAACAGAGAAACAATTTAACGCTCCGACTTATCTTCAACACTACGTTTTCTTTCAATTGTGACTTTAATAAGATGGTAAAAAATAGCCTCGTTAGTTCTCTCTACACAAAGATAGCAAAATATTTTGATAAAATGTCATTTCTTTAAATGTGTAGGTTTAAAGGTTAAAGTGTGTTCTTACAGAGCGGCCATGTTCTGACATTTAAGTACCACACATCTCGTACTACCCACATATTTTAGTAAAAGGAAAGTTGTAACTTGTAATGTACTAACTTTCTAGAATATTCTGTTACTTTATGCTAATTGTAAAATGTTATTTAGACGTGACTACCATTGGTCTAGAATTCTAGACTTATAGCTCAAGCGCTAGCTTTAATTTTTGAAACTTTAAAAGTTTTACATTACTGTAGCAGTTTATAGTATTAAGTTGAGCGCTTAGTAAAAACGCTAAGATATTATACCGAACACTACGACAACAATCTGGACTCGTATTGAGAATTTTAGAAAAGGAAACCCAGTACTACTTGGCACTCCGGAATTTCCAAAGACCTCTCTATAGGCAGCCGTTGCAACGCCCAGAACAAAGCAAGCATTAACAAATACTATAAAATCCAAGGTCACAGCCAGGGGTGGTTCGTAAACTAGAACGTAAAGTTAACTAACAGGATGTTTACTGCGAACATATTAAGGTTACCTGTAAGGTTACCTTCAAGGCCAGGCCTAACATTCGCTATTATTTTATTACGTACTCTACCGCGTCTGCCTGATCCGAGGTAAACACTATTATTTGTAGACTTAGACACTATTATGTGATCTATTGATGTTATAAAACTTCGGTTATTGACCTTTAACCGATTGGAAGGTTGATGATTTTGTATCTGTTAATCGTAGATTCTGTACAATGAATTATTAGAAAAAGTATCAAAGGAGAATACCCTTACACTAATCAAGGAAATAAAACAGTATATACGTTTGTAAATGCTTAGGTCTCAAAGAGTTTAACTAGATGGTTATCAATGACAGATGCAATTTGCGGCCGGCACAAAGGCACTTGAATGCCTTTCCGTGGCCTTAACCTAGGCCATCACAGCTAGTTAAAGCATTACGATGAAGTTTCACACGTTCCTCTCTTCGATTCATAACCTTCCACCTCTCTAACGACTACAAAACAAATATGGCCGTCACTTACCAAAATTAACCGCTGCAAAATTAGCGAAAATAAATTCGGTTCAGAAACTTTATCTACTGCATACTGAATAATTCACAATTTTGTCACGTAAAAGAAGTTTATACAGCTCTTTTACACAAGCCTGTTTATGCCCAACTTTAAATTAAATTATCTCCCCAGAGGGCGGTAAAGTTTTGTATCATGCTTAAATTTTTTAAGTAGATAATACCTTTAGTAATTTGGGCAATACTTTAATGTAATGTTATTTGTGAATTATGTTCTAACCTTGCTGTCTGAACATCGGATCCTACAATAAATAAAGCTTAAAAGAATAATCTCCCGTTTGGGAAATTCTTTTGTGATTTTCTTTTCAGAAATACAAAGAAAATCATAAAAGGATTTCGCCACCACGTCGCTGTGCTTCTTTAATAAACCGAATGTCTTTAGTATCGTACAATCCGATTCTTTCTAAAAATCACTTGATTTTTTATGTTTTTAAATAAAAACCAATTGAATTAATTCTTTCGAGGTGTTTTAGGTTTTAATTGATTTCGATATTATCATATTATCGATCTTATATTTTCAATTTCTTCCAATTTTTGATAAATCAGTTGACTTGTTCCAGGATGCCTTCAGCAGCGCCACCCGCCGAAAATGGCGCGCCGCGCAGCGAGCTCGAGCAGCTACAGCTGCGCGCTGGTCAAGTCACCGATGAGGTCAGTATCTTTGTCTATTCTCTAAGGATGCCGAAGAAGATTATTAACCTATTCGGTGTGGGGGCGCTAGTGGTACACAAAATGGTATAATATGAAAAAATAGACACAGCCCCAACCCCAAGTAAGTAAGGATAAGGTAACGAATTGGCAAGTCAAAAAGTGCTGGAAACTTTTTACACAAAAAGAAATTTCGATTTTTCATAGTACTCAATGATCCTAAACGACTGAGAAAAGTTGAAGAAAAGGACAATTTCACTAGACAAAGTAGAAATTGGATTAACAATCCATTTAAAAGGGACTTGGAGAAATGTAGGGCTTAGTAACAACCGCACTAACTGAATGAAAAAAAAATATTCCATAAACTATTCTCCGCTCAACTTTGTAAGTTTAGTTCGTAACAAGTTTCCTTTGTTCGAACCGTCGAACTTTTACAAATGGAAGAAAATAAGAGGTTTATAAAGTTTTATGTTGTGACGCGTTGAATAATTGAATTTGTTACAACATTTCAGTCGCTGGAGTCGACGCGGCGTATGATGCAACTATGTGAGGAGGTGAGTTCGAAACACGCTTTATTCATACATTATAAGTTAGATTTAATTCTATAATTAAGGGGAAAACGTCACCATCAAATTAATTAAAGAATGAAATAAACTAACGTCCCCATATATCGCTCTGTTACTGTCTAAACATTAATCTTCTGTCTAATCTAGATCTAATGAGTATTGGGAGTTACCTATGTGTTATTTCGAGAATACCTCCCAAAATAATGTGAATTTTCTTTACTATTCTTTCCCCTTTGATACTAAGATAAATTAATCTTGAATTTGGTATAAAAACAATGATTGGCAATGTCGTTGCAGGTTCGATTCCTGAATTCGGGCAATGCATTACCAACTAAAGAATACTAGTTTTGTAATAATATGCTCACATATTTACGAAAACAACTTGTATATAAAGTAAGTGTGAAACTGCCTATGTCGTAAAACAGCCGGATTCAATGTTAAGCCTTTATTAAAAATGAGTTGGAAATACATTGTTTTTATACCAAGTTCATAAATATAAAGTTCCCCTAATGTGACCTGAACATGATTGTGTGATTAATATTGAACGACCTATTAATTTTCCAAGCGTGCGACTATACTGGAAGCTATCTATTGCTAAATAATTGATCCAATAGAACTGTGCGGTCTTGTATATCCGTAGACGCGTTTGAGTTACAATTAAATTAGTTTCCCCTCATAGTTTAATTATGTTGAGTTCTGTTGTCGATTATGTGAATTATTTGTGATCATCTGTGAGAGAGGTGTTCTCGATGCGAGGGAGTGAGGGGTATAGCGGAAGTGTCTGGATAGCCCCAAGCTCGGTTTGGTCTCTGACGCCCGTCCCACCCCCTAGGGCGCAGCCTCTGCTAACCCTGGCTGTTGTGTTTCGATGTCGCTAAATATTATTTTGTTTATCTTTTTTTCTAAATGTGTGTATGTATATCTATGTAGTTATCCGGCCATAATCCTTATTTTATTTTATGTTGAACCCTACATTTTGAGTATAATATGTAATCAGTATTATATGTTATTATTACCATACATATATGGGTGTTGCATGATCCGTGCCTACTGTGTCCGAATATGTTAGACTTCTATAGCCCTTTGTGTTGTTCGTAGTGAACTGTACATTTATGTGATTATATTTACCTTCCCGGGCGAACTGCCCTCGGCGCTGACAGTTAATTAACTATACTCTTATTGTTACGTTGCCTCCTCAAGTTTACGTCAAAGACGCTAATTATAAACTCAAAAGTGTTTAACCGTCAGCTCCTGTAATTTCGCCCGATTGCTGTTTTAGGTTTCAAAGCATGAAGCCCATCATTGTCCACAATAGAATCCAAGTCCCATGTTTAGTTTGAATACTTCTCTAACGTTAGTACCCCTTTTAGTACGTTACTTGACCGAATACGTGCGCTTTTGAGTCTGAAAAAAAAAACTAGTGAATCCATTTTTGCTTGGGCTTGCTTTCTAATGAGACCCTGTCTACCTCTCGGATCCTCAGAGCAGGTATCCGCGTCCGAGGCTGACTCACTGTTTTAACGCACTTTCTATTCTATTTATTTCCTGTCTGGTAACGATACTTGTACTCTTCATAGATGACATGGTTGTTCTCTGTGTTTCTTTGTTTCCGTACGTAACGTTCCAACACTAACTGATCTAGCTAACCTTGGCATTGCGTACATCGTGATCAGTGTATGTTGATGTTCGTTCTATCCTGTTTTAGTTGATCTGTATCTTAGGTCTCTGTTGTAGTGGCTGCTCTCTGTTGTTGACTGTACATCTATTATGTTGTATGATTTTCATGCCTTCTCGAACATTCACATTACTGTCAATATGTGGGCGTGAACACACCCCGTACCTACCACTGAACTCCAACAAATATATCGAGCTACACCTGATGCTGACTCTCACACAATATACCTACATGGACCTAACCGATATAACCAGTATTACCCACATTACTGTATTCATATTATTTCTTACTTTTGATTTACAATATTTTAGTTGACAATCTTTATAGAGGATACCTAATTATTTACGTAATATGTTGCAATTATTGTTTTATATTATTAATTTTATATGCTGAAATGTATGCGCCGAATATAACATGGTATACGACACTGTACAGACTCAGCATTACTCTCAACAACACAGTTCAAACACCAGGGAGGACGTCATCCAGACAAATCGCCACTGAACCAAAATTCACATCGTTAGCCTCTGGCCTCAGTAGTAGATGCCCGTTGATGGCGAGGTGGTGAGGTAGCGATGCTGGGCGGCGTCCTCCCGCGTGACATACAAGTGCAACATCTGACTGTACAAGTGACGCGCCACGCTCGCGCCGCCGCGTGGCGCCCGCCGGGCCCGAACCCACTGTCCACTCACTCTACTGTACCCCTCACAACTAACATGCTCTGTGACTTTTTGTTTCTGCGGCGTAGAGCAAGGAGGCCGGCATTCGTACTCTGGTCGCTCTAGATGACCAGGGAGGTGAGTGATCTGCAAAATTTGCAACACTACATTATTTACAATTTTATCTATTTTATCCTTTTTCGCTAACTTTGTTGAGCATCGTAGGGTTTTCAGCCGACCCGAAGATGGGCTCACCGATGTAGAAGAGTTTAAGGGGGTATCGCATTGATTATGTATTTAAAATTACGTCACTGCTATTACAATGCAAAGGTGCGGGCATCCTCTGAGAAATGACCGTTTACATTGTAAGACTCACACACGGAGATGACCACGGAAAACCCACATCTTTGTATATTTATTCGTATGTAGATAATATACACCACTTTGCACAACTTAACAACGAGCTCTATCTTGTACGACGTCAGGCAGGCCGAACGATCGACATACAAACGTATATATTCGGGCGTACCGATACCTTATACATTCTGCATTTCAGATATTGTTCGTACTCGACTCTAATTTAAACAACTTTACTGATTTCACATAAAACGAATCTAAATGAACGAGCAAAGTAAATTCGAAACGCTTCTCCTCAACGCACGACTCTTGACATCACACAATAAATCATGAATCATATGAAACTGAGCACAGATGAAACTGAATCTGGTTTTACTTGCAAGCTTCACTGCATGCATGTGGTTGTGATCGAGTAGTGTGTGTTAGCACGCCGCACGCGTCGCCCGGCACGCCCGCCACGCCCGCCACGCCCGTAGGCCGCGTCACGCCGCCGCAGCTGCTCGCGCCTCACGCCGCGCCCGTGCGACCGACCGGCGCACCGCACCCACCCACCCACACACCCCGATACTCTCTCCTACGATATATTATTTTGATTTGTATTTTATGTATAGAGCGAGGACGCCGGGGGGCAAGCGCTTCATATGTTGAGTCACCAGGGCGGTAAGAGTTAAACTGACACATGGGTAGTCGAAACGTGAGAACGTCTGTGTTTGAATGTGCAGTTAATAAAATTAATCTCTTTGTTTTTCTTTGACGTTTCTCTTACCTAACGACTTATCTGAGATCGATGTTGCGTGTGTATCTATGTTTCGATGGGGATGACCTTGACATATAGTGTAAATAGAAGCCCGATGGCCGTTCGTTGCTAATTGTCGCAAAAGACTGTTACTCTATCTTTTGCTGAAGATTTAATTTGAATGAGCTGCGCAATCTGTTTAGTTCTTCCGTTGAATTCGATCGCTTTTTATAGGTATATTTATTTATCTTTCCGAATCTACTGTTCTCTTCCGTAACTGCGGTACTGAAATGAATGCGCGTTTACCGATGTCTGTTCGACGTATAGAGTAACTGGTATCCGCCTTCATCTCCATGGCTGGCAGCGTACTGTTCATGTTAGCTGTAGGTCTGTAACTGTTAGCTCGATGCGTCTGTGTCTGTCGGCGAGGCCGCGAGGCCCCTCGCCGCACTACATATTAGTTTGTTCATTTTTCTTCTTCAATAAATCAATACTTTGCTATTTCACGTTTCATTTAGGAATGGCTTACTTACTGGATACGCTCATTTGCTAAGTTGATTTATTTTGTCCCATGATCACCCGGCGGCGGGCCAAGCGCCCGTCGCTCCATGTCCATGTTTTGTTTCTGTTTAGTTATCAGTTTGTTTGTGTTGGTATGAGTTAGCGACGCCCGCGCGGCCGGGGCTGCCTGCGCGCGCGCCGCTCCCGACTCCTCACCGCATTCGTTTGGCGAGCTATAGTGACATCATTATTGTGTTGTAGAGTCACGAGGTGGGCATGAAAACCCTGGTCATGCTGGATGAACAGGGCGGTAAGCATCCAGTAGAACATACTATTTTGCATCACTCATAATTTAGTAAAGCTTTTGTCTGAAATGCCAGTTCAGATAATTTATGAAAGTTCGTTGAATGGCAATGACTTGATGACAATAAATTATGTTACCGATTGAAAATCTGCTAACAGTTTATTAATAATGGATAAAAACTGAAGGTAAAACTTGTTTGTCATGATCATAACTAAACCTAGAGAATAAAGTGCATCAAACGATCTCTGTGCTCCCGCTGCCAGCGCAGTGAGCCTGTGAACTGGGACCATGAGATTATCTGATTCAGTTAAACCCTATTAATTATTTTATTATTTAGTTCTTTGTCACGCATCCAGCTATGCACGTCTTCTTCAATATTGCTGTTTATTGCATGATTAGATTTTTATAAGTGATATTAGTTGATATTATCTAATTGTTAGTACACTACGAGTACGGTAATGTAATCACTTAGTATCAGCACGTACATCATTTTATTCAAAGGTAAATGATTTTTCTTGAATTAGTTTTAACCAGATCAAGTGTAAGACATACGACACAAGCACCACAAAAGATGTTCAGTTAAATATGAATTAGATGCTTAAATATTAGTGTTGAAATGTGATGACATAGAATTGCTCTAGATTGTCAGCTTGCATGGACAGAACTAGTTGATATAACTCGTTGCCGTTACAGAATACATGTCTTACACTTAGCGCTGGTTATTGTCGAGAGCGTTGAGAATTTACAATTTAAATGAAATGATTCAAAACTATTAAAATCGCGAGATTAATATTTAAAGAAAAAAGAGCTAGGAGCTTGAACACATAATGCAGGTTGACTGACAAGGGTGGATCTAAAGCGTGTGTTGATGTGTGTGAACAGAGCAATTGGACAGAATCGAGGAGGGCATGGATCAGATCAACGCGGACATGCGCGAGGCAGAGAAGAACCTCTCGGGCATGGAGAAATGTTGCGGGATCTGTGTGCTGCCGTGCAACAAGTGCGTACCACACACTTACACGACTAGCTTCCGCGCTCGCACGCCGGTTCCAACGAGCCACTAACCATACTGATTATTTTCCTTTGCAATTCATAAGACATAACCTATACATTTGATATCATTCAGCTTCAAGCACTGTAATCACATCTGTTACTCTCAAAGCAAGGTTTTGACGAAATGTTCTCTTCTGCGTCGCTATTCATTGTCTTGTCAACTGCTCCATGAGTGGTGTTTTTGCATGTCCTGGGTTTGTTGTTCCAGGTTGGGATGTGGAACTGTTAGACCGTAATGTAATATGATTGTGTGACATTCCAGGGGTGCGTCATTCAAGGAGGATGACGGCACGTGGAAGGGGAACGACGACGGCAAGGTGGTCAACAACCAGCCGCAGAGGGTGATGGACGAGCGCAACGGGATAGGACCACAAGCTGGATACATAGGAAGGTACGATCAACTTATCATTACCTTAAATCGTAACTAATTAACAAACCAGGAATTTTAAAAATAAAACAGTCTTGTAGCAACATGAATTACTTCCGACTGACTTGTATATTTTAGCAGTCAGCTAGTTCCCAAAATTACTAAAATAGCATTAAAATCGACTCTCGAGTTTTAAACGTAAAAACAAATGAACCGCCAGACTTGGTTATTTGCCAACTAGTCAAATTCAATACTTTTTTCGAACTGTCAAAAACGACAGTTTTCTATGTATTTTGTACGAGATTGTGTGTTGTGACGTCACGTTATTTTAGCGTCAAACAGTATACTTGTTTCGTAAAATTTTGCTGGATAAAATACTAAAATTAAGTTGGTCGTAACATCACTTAATGAAAGTGTGATTATTTTGTAATTATTTTTTTTACTCGCGGCTTCGCTCGCGTCACAAAAGGATAAAAAGTAGCTTATGTGACATATACCAATACACACAGCGCCATTTATACCAATAATTTCGTTTTCCCTCGAGAATATCAAAATTTTTCGGGATAAAAGTACCCTCCTATTATTTAATCCAAACTTTTAACTTCACGTCTGCAAAAATTCAAAGCAATCGGTTTAGTAGTTACGGCGCGAAAGTGGAACAAACAAACAAACAAATTCACTTTCCGATTTATAATATTAGTAAAGACTAAAGCAAGTACCCAATTACTCTCGCGTCTATACCTAAAAATTAAAGAAATTCACACTTCATGGACGTGTAAATCTGCAATTGTGAGCCTTTTAACAGAAATAAACCTTATCTATGATCTGTTTAGGATAACAAACGACGCTCGTGAAGATGAGATGGAAGAGAACATGGGCCAGGTGAACACGATGATCGGCAACCTGCGCAACATGGCGCTGGACATGGGCTCCGAGCTGGAGAACCAGAACCGCCAGATCGACCGCATCAACCGCAAGGTAACCTGCCGTGGCTGGCAGACCAATTACATGTGCACGCGAACCCGTCTGGCTAGGAGAACTGTAGGATTTTTTGTGTAGACTTTCCAGCCAAAGATTAAGTTTAAGTACTAGGACTATGAAAGAAGCAGAAGTATCAGTATTGACTGGCTTTTTTACTGATTTCTTCTTACCTTTCATATGACATATTTAGTATATAGAATTATGGCGATGAAAGGGTTTTTTACTAGATCGCTTTATTGAGACAGTTTTGTTCAAAGAGTAGCAATATTATAAATTAAGTAAGAACACTGTTTATACTGTTATAACGTTATTATGGGATAAACATTACATTAAGATGTGAGTGAAAATGAGTATACAATCAGGAAGAAACATTCCTGTTAAAATTCTATCAACAATTTGATCTTATACACATAAAACACTTCTCTTTCAAATAGACAATTAGTATCCTATATCATTATTTCTATCTCATTATTTTAATTACTTCTATTCTGTTATAGAAGACTGTTTCGCGTGCACTTCTAAACTAATTTTCTTCTAATAGATTTATCTACAGTCTCTACTCTTCGACACTGATATAAGACTATTCTTAATCAGTATTTTTTTCTAATATCAATTATTGATGTTGTCGTTTTATTGATTCACAGTGTAAGATTTTACCTCACTTGTAAATACATAGTTGAAGCAATAGTGTGCGGTTTGAGTAAAATTTTACACTACCGGGACATTGTGAAACTTGTCTAAACATGTTTCGTGATGTCCCGATGTTGTTCATCTACATTTTCACCATCTAAGTGTTTGTGCCTGTCACGTTAGCCGTGGACGTGCGACTAGTTGTCTTCTGTGTCTATCAACTATCTTCCAGCTTATTGGCATCCTAAATCTCCGGTCACTCGCTTACCTGGCAATCGATTCACTTCCTTCTGTCACCCGACGCATGTCTCTTCATACTTGGTAGAGTATGTGATTAGAAATTGGTTGTTGTGAAATTTTTCTTTGTGTCTTCCGACTGACAGTATAAGACATGCTACGAAATACTCCGTACACATCCCACACGACCATTGTGTTATTGTTACTAGTTGTCACATCCATCCAGACTAACATGATATATCCAGAATTAGACTCCATAACTAACACTGTCATTCACATCAATTCTAACGGAACATTGTTTTTGTTTCAAAAGACAGCGACTGATGGCCGTCCAACACACTTGATTATTACTGTTACAGTTTCAATATTCATCTAATACGGCGATGTAAAGAAAAATGAGTAAATTTTTGAATGTCCTCAGGGTAACCTCATGATTACTCCTTCTTCTTTACTCGTCTGTGTAACTGGGCCAAATGACATACTGAATATAATATACAAAGAGAAAGTCGCTGTGAATTGAACAACTAGCAAAAACAAATCGCGTGTTCTAATCATAGGGCGAATCGAACGAAACGAGGATAACTCTGGCGAACCAGCGCGCGCACGAGCTCCTCAAGTAAAGGACGGCGCCGCACACCACCACACACACACACACATACACACCACTCGGTCTCGTGGTCACATGCGGGCGACACGCCCTCACACCGGTTGCAGATACATTACCATTACTCATTTCAAAACTACAAGCAATCTACTGATAGGTCTATTTATTTGCGGTTAAATTTTGAAAACAATATGTATCCATAGAAATAAAAGCAGAAAGCATTGTTACCCTATACCTGTAAGAAACATACTCCCAAGAACACAGCAATGCGATGCTGCAACAGAATTGCTCAGTTTTAGGTTGACAAGTAAGTTTATGTTAGGTGAATTCCCTATGTATCTGTAACCGGTGTACAATATAATTTAGAAATGAAATATTTTTGCTTAGTGTCTCTCTTCTATCTCGAGATACATTTATCCAATTGTAAATTTAATATTAAACATGTAATCCTAGCATGCTACTGTATTAAGTGAACACTCGTTCCTTTATCACTACTATTTATTACAGCTTTTTCTTAACGCTCAACTTTTAAGTACATGTTGTTGAAATGTTGAAAATATAAGTACACGATGTAGTTTTGTTGGGGGTACTTCCATATTGTTAAAAATGTACTGGAATATGAATGCAGAAATACAATAAATTGCGTCCAAGTAGTGCCATAAACGACAGTAGCGCACTCTACCCAGAAAAAATACATGGAATTCAAGTTTCCATCAAGAGATTTGGTTGTAGAACAAAATTGTTTGAGCCGGCTACCTCACATAAAACTACATAATTTTATGAATAGTTTTTGGTGCTCATTTCATGCAGTAGGACATGTTGAAGTTATATAAATTATACTTAATCGTATTTACGCCATTGTCTAGTATATTTAAATTATTATAAAACTACTACACGATATAACAGTTAGGAGGTGGAAGCGTGAGATTTATTTTGAGAAAATGCATTTACCCCATGTTAATATGTAGTGTTACTGTTGAAGCTAGATAAATTATAACTATCGTTGCTTGATGCAGATTTAAACTATGAAATTATTATTATAAACAAGTTACTTATAACCACACGATATATGAAAGTTATTTAAATCAAAAGTTGTTAACTTCAAAGGGATCATGGGATCAAATCTCACCAAGATCAGAGTTTTCCACACGATATTCTCTTCGTAAACACATTTTATCGATGCAAGTATTATGATTTAATCTTGGCTATTAATCTAAAATGCATTGAGAACAGTTAGAACACATACCTACTGTTCGTAAATAGGCTATCGTAAGAGGGATGAATAAATGGGTATCATGAATGGTAAGAATAAGTATGAGTCGATATGTGATAATAGTTTGAATTTAAGTGAATAGACATTAGACAGTCACATGTCTTCGAGAAAACTCGTTATCTGAAATGCATCAGATCTCATCATTTATTTTAAATACGTTTCATAGGAGCATTTATGAAGTTGGGATCGAAAAATAACAAATATATCCTTATCAAATATTTAGAAAAATTTGTGTCTACACGTGTCTTACTATAGTCCTATAATAATCATGGTTACAAATATACATAATGGCTTTGACATATCTCTGCAATATACATATCTGCTTCTATGAAATAGTATGAAGACGCTACCTACTTATATAATGTAACTTAGTATAACAATGTAGCTATCTTAACTAGCGATAAATCTATCGTAATTTATTATTAATTAGTAATTTTTATTTATTTTATGAAGAAATAAATCATTACATTTACAAAAGTGATTTAAGTTATTTATTTTCCCTTTTTTTTGAGTTTATTTTATTGAAGTTGTTTTACAAATGGTTATTAATAATCTGTAATTATTGTGGTGTCGCCATTATTTTCTAATAGTAACTGCAAATAAGACATAATCAAGAAAGTATATATTTAAATTATAAATGAAGGTGTAAGGAAAGAAGTTGTGGTAGGGAATGAATAGGACATAAGTATTTAGGATATATTTATAGGTAAATTGCTAGAATTAATTTAACTTAGTTTGAAGAACTAAATCCGACATCCCTGGGGGGGAAATGGTTATCAGACCGATATTTAAAAAGCTACAAGCAAATAGGTGACTTAAATAAAATGCATTCTTCCACGAGACTGCACACACACAAACAAACTAAACACACACGTCGCTGATGATCGTGAGTATATTTTTTTAATAAAAAAGCACTTTTATAAAGCGGAGCACAGCTTGCACTTAAAGCGATTGAAGCAGCACAAAATTGGCTTTTATGTCACTTACAATAAGACGCTATGGCGTTGCCGCTTGAAGCCGAAAATCGCTGAAAGATAAAAAGGCTTACAAGATTAAGATGTGTCGCATGTAGCAGCACTATACAAATTTATTTTGGTATATTGCTATTGATATTGTTAACATCTTCTGTGTAAATATAAAGAAATATATAGACTTGGTGCTCTTACATGTGAACACAGCTTTGTGCTCGACAGTTTGCAAAGTTGCAAATGTCTCTCACATTCTAACAATATTGTAAAATAACCTAAATTATTATTGGTAATTCTTTTTTTTTGTTTCGTTTAATTTCCTCCGGTTTTAACCCTCTTCCTTTTTCGTTCTGTCTTTTCGCTCTGTCTGTAGTTCTGTCTTATTTCTTCTTTTACAAATATCTTCAACTGTTTTTTTGCGTTTGCGATGTCAAATCGTGTTACTCTATTCTTCTGTTTATTTCGTTGTTTGGTTTTGTTTTGTTTTGTGGCTATTTTTTTAATTTTGAATTCTTTAACCAAACCTGTGTCTCCCTTGTAACCTAAAGCTAATATTCTACCTTATTTCTAAGGAAATAAGTCTTATTTCTAAAGAAATAAGGTTTATTTTTAAAGGAATAAGGTTTATATATCTGTGACAATTTTGCTGTGTTTATAGAAGAGTACAATGAGGTTTTTTTATAGGGTGAGAGCAACGAGACGCGCATAGCAGTGGCCAATCAGCGCGCGAACAAGCTCCTCAAGTCTTAAGCACCACGCACTTGAATAAACCCACTAAAATGACGCTTACTTACATACACTTATTTATTTCAATTAGATATAATTACAAACAGTAAATAAACTATTACAAATAATGTAAAGAAACCAACATAATGAGTTTGGGAATGGGAGAAATATGAAATGAATATATGGTTGGTAAGCGTCATTTTAAGAGTCTCTTAAGCGTTATATTGTGGTAAGTACAGTTATATTATTCGCGTATAGTATAAAAATTGCAATAATTTGATTTATGTCGTTATTGTACGAGGCTTGTGGACAAATTGACTGACGTGTTCCTAGTCAAACTGTCAAGTATTCTAATAAATATTGTCTTGTCCATCAAAATGAATTGTATTCGTAACTGTACTTACCTGACTATGTTCATTTCAACTTTGAGATTGCAATTTCCTAATTTATTTATTCTTGCCTTATTTTAAGTTAAGTTGCGTTCGCAATGAAGTCTACATTCAACTGAGATTGTATTTACAAATCGTAAAAAACAATAAGTAAAAGTAATTCGATATTAATGTTCAAATTAATGCTTCAATTAAGAAATATCTACTTACTTAATAAATAATTCCTTACAAATAACATCGTGCTATGATCTACTTAGTCTCTTAAATAAATACAATCTCATAAAATTAATCATTTGCAAAGAAGAATTACCTATTTATGATTTGAGCAATGTGCCAAAATTTTGTTCATTAAGTACGTCACACACACGTTAATACACTATCATTTAAATATTTAAATAGTTACACTACGTCACTCTGTTTACCGTTCTCATAAATTACAATCAGAGCCTGAACGCAATGCCTACACCTCGCCTGTAGATATTAAAATAGAAAACAAAGCTATTATTTTTACAATGAATTTTTAAAAATATGCACTACCTACATAACTATTTTCAGATGACTTTGAAGGGCTAAACAGCCATTTGTTCCATTGAATCGCACTTAATTGTAGCACAAAGTCTTTATGAAAGAAAATAATATTTAGATATCTCATTTGCACTTGGAATGCAATAAATAATTAAGGTGTGCAAAGATAACAAGATGGCGACGGACGTAGTTAGACCTCGAAGCTCAAACTGTTTCCCGCCATTAAATGGCGTCGTGACGTATCTACACGTGTGTTACAGAATCCCTTACTTCTTTGATAAGCAAACAGTACCTATCAACAAGTCTTCGTCTTTAAAACATTAGTGAGATTTTAAAAATTAAATATTATGTAGTATTATGATATTTGTTGAGATTGTTCGTCTCGTCATTCTTTGTATCTGATAGTTCAGTTTAGTGTTTATTTGTAGTACGTTCGTATTGAAATCGAATGTACAGTTTCTATTAATTTATTAGATTAAGATAATGGTGCCTGAATTCGTAGTTTAATTTAGTTCTGTTTTATTTCAACGTTTGTCATATGATGCATTTAATATTGAATAAGTTACAGATTTTTACAGTCGAAGCTTTGATCTTTATGTTTGATTTAGTGATTGCGTAGAATTTATTAAGCGCTTTTACACGGCGTCGCTCGCTAAGTCGGGTAAAAAAGTTAAGTAATGGGATAAGAAAGACGAATGACCCTGAGCGTGTAAACGACTTTCCAGTTATTGTTAGCTCCATAAGACCTACTTTCACGATAATTCTGCAATCAAAATTGGAGTCAAATATGATCTTGTATATCTGCCATATTGTTAAGAATAGACAAGGGCAGTAATGTAATGAAGAGAGATATATGTTTAGCTTAATTTTCCTTTTCGAATTGTCGTGGAAGTCGGTCTTAGCCAATTGTGACTCCTGTGTCGAACTTGATCTGTTATGATGTTCCGATACCGGGCTTCAGTAACTGGTAGATATATGAACATGATACTTGATAGCGTTGTAATGTGATTACAGAATATAATGCAATAGTATATGAGATCGTTAGTTGAATATTTAAAACTTTATTATTACTTAAAGTGTATTGTTGTAAGTATGACGAATAAAATGTACCGGCCTTAGGAGTAATGTGTAGGATGTTAAAGGCAGCGGCTTGACAAATTATTATACTCGTGTACCAGTTAGTGTTAAGAGTTTTCGAAAATTTCTCTATGTCTTTTTCTCTCAATCGTATTAGTTTCTAAGGATATACGTGTACCGACGGTACGCGGACATTTATCTAAGTACATCATATTTTAATAAAGAAATATTTTAACAGTGTTATCTCGTAACTTTTGAGCTGTGGACCTTCTATTGTCGCGTTGTGCCGTCGACCACTAGCGCCGCTGTGTCAGTGTGTCGACGACACATCGCGGCGGCGCGTGCGCAGCCTCGTAGATTGTTTTGTAACAGCTATCCAATTTAACCAATAGATGTGTAAATTTACCGCCTGCATAATCTGTATAATGATTTTAATCAGCCTAAAAATATTAACTATTTAGGATAAAAATTATTATATCTATTTTCTTTAAGAATAGATAAAATGATAGTATAAACTGTTAATTTCTAATTACATTATTGATTTGTTAAATTACAAATGGTTGTATTATTTCCTCGTACCCTAAAATTGAATAAAACAGCATATTTTTAATAATATTTATTAAAAAACAACGATTATTTACATACTTACAATATAATAAACAAGGAACTAACTGGGCCATATTGTTTAGTACTCAGTCGACTGACGGACTGTGTAATACTCGCATTGACTAGGTATCAACCTTCCGTACCCTCGTATAGTCACGTAGAACACATTTTGCACCAGATTTTGTTAACCGACGAGCCACTACTGCTTAAACGAACATTGAGTCACATTAAATTGTCAACTATTTACTGTATTTACATGCTAAACGTGACTATTCGAAGTAGAAAATGTATAAATATAAATATATCAGCAATTTCAATGATTCCACGTCGTTCCAGTCACTAGTCGTGGTCTCCTCACATCACTGGAAAGAAAGAGAAGTATAATTAATACACATGCCTTGAAATGTTAAAAACATGATAGAGAGGGTATGCAATAATAAAGTTTAATGCCAATTACTATTATGTTGAACAAGTTTCGTAAAGTTATAATATAAAATTATAACTTTCGTGAAACATACTAAATTAACTATTATATTTTCGGTTTAGTCATGGAACTGTTTGACGTAAAACTCGACTAGTCTGCTGCTTAGCGACTTGATTAATACGTCGTGCGTCTAAACGTGGATCCACGCGAGACACAATATATTTTCTATTATGTCTCATATTGGTGCATTTAATGTAATAATGTTACTCATGAGTATGAGCCTCTATCATGACTTGAAACTAGTCGAGTTCCTCGTCAAACAGTTACGTGAGTAAGACCGAAACATAATAATTAATTTAGGTTTCATACTGTCTTTGTAGAATGTTAGCTATTATCCTATTCTGAATTTTGATAATCGAAACAATAACCCATTTCATCGAGATAAGGTACCTACCTATAGTTGTCTAACGAACGATTAGGCAGTAAGATCAAGTCGTTCAGACCTCATGGTCCAATTTATAGAAAATCAATACATACATAGATATAGTAATACTTCATCTAATTTCGGAAATAAACGCAATACAAACTTTGTGGTTAGAACAGTCTAGTCAAATCGAGATTAGCCAAAAAAATGTGTAAACAAACAGTTTTTACTGCTGCCGGAATGCCCCAGAAGGTGCTAATGATGCTTATTCAAACTAACATTAAAAAATATTCCGAATTATGGCATAATACCTAATAATAGATATGTAGGTATTTACCTACTACATAATCTCTATGTACATACCTACCCAATACTATACAATCTCAATGGTCGTAAGTTTTCATAGGAAAATTTCCTCTTAGATTAGCACCTCAATGTTGCCACTGAGCACTGTGATGCAGCTACATATTGCCGGTTTAGAAACATGGGTAGATATCGACCTCAATGGATGACGAAAATGGGAAGTCTAGACCTAGACATAGGGTCTACTTCCCTTTGAACTCGTTAGTCAGTAGTTATAGTCGGCATAATCCTAGACTCTCTGCTAGAATTAGATACCTACATATAAACTTGACAATTGACCCCATCCTGTGCAATGCGCCCCAACCAGCTTAGGATATGACGACCTTCTGGTTTATCATATTCATACTTTGTCATATACATTTGTGCATCGGTAAGTAACTGATTTAATTATACCACAAATATCTACATGTGCATAAGCAAACTTAAACCAAAGATTAGGTACATTTAAAATTATCTCAACTTACAAAGCTCGACGATGAGCTCCAGACAGACCATCACAGCGAACCCGAAGAGAGCGCAAGAGAACTGCAGGAGACCGTTGCAGCCCTTCCATACCTCGAAGAACACCACGTACACCAGGGTACCACACGCCAGACCCTGGAAACATTGATACAGAAGGTTAATAGATTTGTAAAGAGGATCACACAAATTCTAGTCTAGAGGATTCTACCGATCAAAAGGTGTAAGACCAATTCAATACAAAGTACCCATCTATTGTTGGTATGTATTTTCTCAGTGCGTCAAAGGCGGAGTATCGCATTTGCATCATTAGGAATATGGGACCTAGGTACCTACTTAAAACAGGGAAAAGGGTTTTCAGTAATAAGTATAAGTACAAAGTTAATGGAGGTATGATTGTTGTAGGTACCTATGGGTAAAATGGGTACAACACATAGGTACGTAGCATTCCTTCTTCCACATCCTTATTTATTATTCCACTTATTTATTTAAAAAACATGCACATGATTGCACATTAGGTCCACTGAATGCCGTAGGCATTATTTGCCAATCTGACCTGAGAGTGATGCAGAGATGAGTATACTGTGGGTGCATGTTTATTGACGGTGACCAACAGGATTGTTTCAGGTTTAATTATTCAGACGGATTAAGTATATAGGTAGATATAGTTATTCTTTCATTACCAGGACAATCTATTTTTAGCTAAGTAGGTAGGTACCACGTAAGTAGCTATCTAATATCGTTCTTGTTGTTCATAAAGGCGTAGGTAGTGGAGTATCATTTCTCATTTAAGCGATATGAAACAGAAGCTATTATTGTAGTTTGCACTACACAGGTACAAGTGTAGTCAGTTAAATCCCAAATGAAGAAGAATCAATTTTGACCGATTTTGGCAGTATAACAGGAGTTTCTGTCAGTATTTATAAATAAATAAAAGCTTGCGTGATTTTCTACATGTAGGTATGTAACTGTCGCATCGGACCTTCAATCTCAGATATTATACAAATACATACATGTCTATGTCGATAACACAATCATTAATAGTGTCTAAAAATAATTAAATAATTACCTATGACGTATTTAATTGCAATTTAATTACTTTTGGCGCAAAACTATCATTGTATGACAACTAATTAATAAAAATTGTTAAGCTTATGTAGATAATTCCGTAACATAATAAGTATTTAGATAAAAAAGGATTCGAGGATAAATAGTCTTTGATAAAAATCGACATATTAATAATATTACGTTCGTGGAATGCAATTTGCGTTAAATTATCGAAATTTCTTTGTAAATAATTTTGTATATCGGTACTTTTCGTTGCGGAGATAATTGGTTTTTAATATATTATCCTGTCTGTAATCTATCATCTTCTATCTTTCGTAAGTACCTAAAGCTAGTAATCGATAAGGTCGCATTTTCTGCGAAATCAAGTCAAACAACAACATGATCAAGATCACCTACATAACGTATTTCATGTAAACAGAAATAAACTCGCTCAAACTGGATTAGTACTTAATTTCAAAATAATAATTTGTAATTATAAGTCCAGGATTCTTAATGTTGGTTGCCTCCGTCGTAAGTCAGTGATATCTAAATTAACTTTTAAAGCTCATTTAGGGCTCTTGCACAAAACTGCGATGCGACGTCGCATCGCAAAAATGTGCGAGCTCCCTCTACCCATTGCAAGACCTTACGAATTGATTCGCATCGCGCATCGAAGTCTTATCTTCCTAAAATCTTCTTTGTTTCTTTTTCCTGTATCTCCTAAGCAATAACAGAAGTGCACACTTCTTTTTACGATCCATATCGCGCCCGAGTTTTCAATTTGAAAAATTATACGATTAGTAGATACGGTTGACGGTCGTCGAAGGAATGGTTACCCTGGGAGACGCCTTGTCACACGAAATCGCATCGTAGCAATTCGCATCGTAATTTTTTGCGTTGCGAATTTGCATCGCAGTGTTGTGTACGAGCTTACAATCCGTGCCCTCATGCTTGAGAAACCTGCGGGCACCGTCTTTGACTGTCAATAGAAATCAGTTGAAGGCAACTCCTCCGATGACGTCAATCACCGGTGACGGGTGAACCCATGGCGTTTAACGTGGCCACCGCGATTTACACCCGTATACTGAAAGACTACTAAATTTTAAATTGTACTTTCATATCGTGCCATCTCTATCATTTTACAAAGAATTTGTAGTGACTGTAGAACTATACCTACTTAAGCGATATTTAAAATTGAGTGGCTTTAGCGTTAGAGTATTTGGACATTAAAAAGCTACTTTAATTTCGTGAATAATATGAAAACTCTAACTCTGCCGTTGGCTGGTAAAGAATGTCATCCGCATCCGTAAATTGGCGTTCCATAGTCTGGGCCTACCCCCATAGGAGGCAAATGTGAGGTTATGTATGTGTGTATGTATAAGTGGTAGTCTGTCTGTCAGTAGGTACCTAACGTGGTTATAAGTACCTACCCGATCCGTTGAGTAAGATTTATAAGAAGAAGAACAAGCAAGGACCTCCGTGTTTACTAGATTGACTATTGCTAATAATCAATTGTCATAATGCGGTTGGATAAAAAATATCTTGATCTTGAATCGGATTTAAATTGAATTATTTGCATTCAATCAACGATCGACCTTAAAATGATTAGCAACAGTTAATTCATTTATCTTCTAGAATATTTATTTTAGCATTGAACATTGAATAAATTTCATTTCAACTAAACATGCAATTTTAAATAGGTACTACCGACCATAGTTTAATTATATCACTTTCCCGTAACTATTCCTTACTAAAAACCGTGCAGAATTAATCTGAAAATATCTAAGTAGCTTCAGAACTATGAATCTTCGTCCACGTCTGTCCGCGATAAACTCCAAAAACACTGAACTAAATTACAATTAGTCAAAAAAATGAACTAAAGTGAGAATGTCTTTATAATTTACCTGTAACACAACGGAATAGACGCCGGCATCAGCGCCCGAGCCGCCGACCAGCAGGATTCCAATACCAATACCAAGAGCTGACATGAAGGAGAAGGTGAAGATGTAGACCACTGACAGCCATCGCTTCGTGCCTGACGCCAGCAGCTCCACACCGATGCAGAACGCGATTATGTACTTGTGGGCAGATACTGCAGCAAACATGTACCTGGGGACAAGAAAATGTTACTTTAATAATGCATACGTAAGTACATAAGCAGAGGACAAATAGTGCCTATTTCGATGCTTATGAAACCTGGTCAAATTCATAACAACAAAACAGATAGGTACTATTAAGTTTATTATTTATTTTGTGCACGCTATACGTATTTAAGTTTATAGACAAGTCTGTTTATGCAGAAGTCACTTATTAATTAGCATCTAGTGACATAGTAATTGAAATCTTAGGAGTCACGGGTGCGTTGCCGGCCTTTTATTTTATTTTAAAGGTTTGAAGGACGTATCGGTTCAGAAATACTGCCGAAGACAGATCATTCCATAGTTTTGCTGTGCGAGGCAAAAAGTTATGAGAAAAATGCACAGTTTTAGCCTGCCAACCATCTATATGATTGGGATGGATATCTTTTAATACACTTATATCCTAATAAACAGGAAAACGATTATGTTAATATTTCTGTGATTATGCAATTCCTCAATTGGTATCGATTTTAAATCGAATCATAGATACGGGGCCCTATTTAAGTAGATACGTGGTCTATCGAATACGAGTGTTATCACCTACGTGACACTAGGCGCCTAGTTTTATAATAATATAAGGATGATATATATCCACATAAAGAAACAATCTATAAATGGTTTATAGCATGTAATTCCGGCCAATAGTCGAATACGCATAAAAATATGTTTTTACGACAATATACTCAATTCAATGATTGATAAGTAAGTAGTCCTAATTTTTTTATCAGATCATGTAAGCACATGTCATAACCTTCATTTAAAGATAACAATATTTACCTGCATAAGCTAGCTTACTGCAACTGCAGTCAAAAGCAATCGTAGACAAATATACATATTACATAAGACTTAAATAACATAACATCACGCCTTTTTATTCCCGAAGGGGTAGGCAGAGGTGCACATTTCGGCACCTAATGCCACTGTACAATGTAACACCCTCTTTTCACTATTTATGTTATGAATCCCATATAATAGGGGGTGAGCATATTGCCATATACCGGGCACAATTCCAGACTCCGTGCTACTACTAAGATTTTTAAAAACCCAGTAATCGAACCCCTTGCACGGCAGTCGCACTTGCGACCACTCGGTAAATGTAGCTCGGTAGTCGTCCCATTGTTGCCGAAGTATGGCTCTCCCACGCTGACTATAATTTGAATATATCTATTATCTACATACATATCTATATCTTTTTCTTATACTCGATAGGTCGACGTTTGTCCACCATCTCGCCTGGTAAGCGATGATGTGGCCGACGATGGCGCACGCCTACCTATGAGCAACTAACTATATATCAAACTTATATTTAAATTCGACAGGTATTTTTCATCATTTTTCCTGTAGACATTCATATAATCTTGTAATCAGATGACACTGGTATCGTCAGACTACCGAAGCCATTGGAATTACCAGTAGTTACGATAAAAGAACAAACGATTTGCCAATGTTTATCTGGAGTTAGCATCGAAAAGAAACCTTACACAAATTATGATTTCGACCATCAATCAAAAACATATCAATTACTATGATAGCATTCAGGCCTATTGAGCTGTTGTGTCCAGATAACTCAGCTTATCAAATAAAATTATTGTTGATTATTCTCCGAGGGGATCAACCATCAAGCAGTATCTTTCATCTCGAGCTGATGAAGGATTAAAGATTTCTAGATTACCTACCTAGTCCTAGAATCCATCAAGAAGAGCAACGTCGCATGTGGAGCAAAAAAAGTTTGTGCTATTTGATAGTTTGATACCAATAAAGAATTTCGTAAATAAAAGATTTCTGAAACTTGTATTGTCTATAAAATCTTAAGTTAGATCCTTATGAACTAAGAATAGATCTGAAATAGTGGGGATGTATGTGTGTCTTTGTTACTCTTTCACATCAAAACGACTGAAGGGATCGAGATGAAATTTGGAACAGTGGTAGATTATGGTCTGGCCCTGGTCTGGTCTACTCATAGGCTCCTTATAGTTGGAACATATTTTGTAAAAAATTGTAAACAACCCTGTACACACTATAGATGCATTAAAGTGATTTGAATTTGAATTTGAATTACTTTTTAAGTTAAGGTAATATAAAATAATTGCCTACCGTCTGCAATAGTGATGTCTGTATTGCAGATTAGATATAGGAATCTATGTTAGAATTACGGGAAATCCACTCATAGTTCTCCCCTACACTCTGTTACTTCATTCGCATCCAGTTATTTTCCCGTTCCCGTTTGAATTTCGGGAATTCCTTTTGGTTATTCACCAAATTCCCGACGGCACCAACGAATATGTGACTATTCTAGAGGTAGATTTATACGTAGAGTAGCTTATGCGATAAAAATGTGCAGATCATTCTGATTGACAATTTTTTGGTACATATTTACCTAATCACGGCTAAGAAAATAATTTGTACATTGTACGGCGATGTATATTGGTCATTTCACCTCAAATAATCAAATATACGCCACCGACACTAACTGCGACCGCTTGCTAAAGTAATATTGTTTTATACATAAGCTATGACTGACTGAAACAAAGCAGATCAGTCTTTCTGAACATTTCAAGGAAAAACAACATTTTTATTTCCATTGTTTTTGCTGTTTTCCTTATTCCGCAACTTATCTCAAGGAGTATGTTTGTTTCAAATCTTGAGCTAATGACATAGCTTGCTTTATATTTACAATATTGAATCCTTGATCCTTGACACCCATGTTTCACAGTTTTATACAGGGGGTAAACATAACGCTCCCGAAAAACGAGGTGATTGTAGAAAGCAAGTTCTATTTCGATAAAACTAAGGAATTAAATGTTTCTTTTATGTAATAATAATTGTAAGCAAATGCTCAATGCTGATGTGGCATGAATAACATGTAAACAAAAACGATTTAAAACTGAAAAAACAATTTCTTTTTGTCAGCGTTTTGAAAGACGGAACGTTTTCATTTACTTACGTAAATGTGCACCACAGTTTACGCCTCCAGGTAATAAAACAGGTAACTTTATGTTTTTTTATGATGAGGAATTTGCATTCTTTTCCAAACTATGATGAGTTCGGAAGCAATTTGTATCAGGTTCAACTGAATATCCGCATTTAACTAAGAGCGTTAGTCATTTGCCGTCCCCAACCCATTAAACGTGACACAACATTCTTGGTTTATCTGATGTCACAGGTACTTTGGGACATCCTTAACTATAGTGACGTTAGTCGTAGCCCACGACGACAACAACCGCAAGTTTATAAGATAAGTTTATAGAACAAACTAGCCTAAGGTATGTTAGCCAAAATTTCTGAGACGGGCCACTTAAAAAATATGCAGTTATGATTACTTTTTTCGATATCTTGATTGTCAAATAAATACATTACAACTTCCAATATGTTTCTTCTCTACTTTATTTATCTACAAGATTATACCTCTACAAGGTTTGAAATAAGGTGGGCCTTATTAGGCGACTGTACCTTATTTAGTTCTAGGCACAGAAAAGAGATAGTATTCTCTTTTCTGTGGTTCTAACCTCGCCTCTGTTAGGCTTTAAAAGTGTCCTATATGCCATTCCAGACTTTAACCGACTAAGTAATAGGATTTACATGTTTCGCGTTGATCCGCGTTTAGGCACACGACCTATCGCGACGGGTTAATTTTTCTCTATCCCAAACATTCAGATCTATTTTGTAGTTTTTAGGTAAAAGAGTTACTTACAAACTTTATCAAATAGAATAAAAAGTATCTACTCGACACTTGATCTCTAATCTAAGGCGCTGTAAACAAGTTGTACTTCAATAGGACATACTCATCACAAGTGATTACACCACTCAAGTTATTGGCACGTCCCTCTTATCTATATTGAATCTAATTGAAAGTCATAAAGCGCTTAAGCACTTCCTATACCTGACTTCTCGACCTGCACCTGATACTAAAAGTTATCTTTATTAACAATGGTCTCTTGCCCAACAAATTAACCTAAGAAAATTTACAATTGTTTTACGTATCACTCTCCAGGCCTAACTTTCTCCAGATATAATATCATACCATAAAATCGCCCCATTCCAACATGAAAGAATAGCCAAGCACACTCACTTTCGTATTGAGAACATTAGTCCCTGTAGATACTATTAATTCTTATTAAAAAATAACAACACAACTGTATTGTATCTGAATCTTTTAGAACAACTGCCTCGAGGGGTTTTTAAAAAAAATCTCAGTAGTAGCACGGAGTCTAGAAATGTGCCCGGTATATGGCAATAGACTCACCCCCTATTACATGAGACTCATAACATAAATAGTGAAAAGTGGGTGTTACTTCTGTGTGCACCTCTGCCTACCCCTTCGGTAAAAGGTGTGATGTTATGTTATGTTACGTCTTCTAGAACAATCTTGACACAGATAAAATACTGTCTAATCCTAATCCATAAACTAGCTCAAATAGATAAACGGTCGTCGCCATAACATTCTAATGTTTAAAAAATGATGCGCCTAATCAAAGTCTTCAATTCGATAGCGTATCATCATTGACAGGTGTCGTAACTCGTAAACAAAATCTTAAGATAAACTTTACGTGACTGCAAGCAGCGTGAAGAAAACGATTGTCTTCTAGCCGCTATCGATTTATAATGGTGACTAATGCTTTAGCTTCCATGTCGCCAAATTGTCTCAATTGTTATCAAAAGCCTTATTATCATGATCATCGCAATATTTGGTCTTACATGGTCCTACGCTAGGATTGTCTCTTGTATCGTGGGTGCCTTTTACAGAGATACAAATTATACACCCAGATCAAACCACCCAGAAACAAAGTTCCCCGCGGGAAACGAAACCACAACACGTTGAGCAGCAAGCCCAATACCTGTTTCAACTGTAACCCTATTATTATATGTATTCTCCACAACTATCTATAAAAAAACTTCATACTTTTCTTTCTATACATACAGGAAAAATATGTTAAATATTTATATTTTGTTTTCGGACCGTCTTATCGGTTACTAGTTAATGCTTCTATCAATGTCAGCAGGACGTAAATGGGTTCCTCAAAGGAGATAAACATTTAATTAATTAATCATTAATTTGATTATCTTTATACAGGATCTCTTGCGTACGTGTGTGTGACTAATCAGCTGATTATGTCAATACAATATGTTACGTATTTGAGAAATTGATATTTTTTAATGGTCAACTCAGCCAGCCGTCTGATGATTTCTGAAAAGCTGTAATATCCATACTACCTGAAAACCTAGATACCGAAGAGTCTTACAGTCAAGAATCTATTTTAATGCCTTGTAGCTTGTAGCGATAGAACTGTTTCCGCTAGATACTTGAACGAGGTTCATTAGCAAATAATGCTATTATATAAAAACAAAGGGAAAAACAAGGAAGAATTATTTCAGTAGGTACTTACCACACGTTGGCTACAGAAGACTCCAAACCAACAGCGAGACCCTCGAACAGTTCATGAATGGACAGAGCCAGCACAATGAGCAGACCTCTAAGTGCTCCCGCCACAGAGTCATGGTCTTGCAGAGGCAAGTGGTTCTCCTCGCCTTTCTTTCCATTAGCCTCCATCTGACTTAGTTCTGCAGCAGCAGTAGCCGCTTCAATTGACCTGCCAGAGGTCAACGAACTCTTCCTCATTTTGAAAGGCTTGGCGAAGGAGTTATTTCGTTTCTTGTTTTCTCGGCTGTTGATGTACAGATGCACCAACTCTTCGACTAAGTAGATCATAAAGAAGCCGGCGCACATGATCAGCCCGGCGAGGAACAATGGAAACTCACCAAGTTCACCTTCATCTGCAAGGAGGTTGGGGTTGTATTAAACAATCGGGTGGTGGTATTTTGTCGAAAATTAAAGTACCTATATATTCTATTACTTATGATGATGGTAATGATTGAGTTTAATTCAAATAAGTGAAAGAGTGTGATTTTACTTCCACAATGTTAGTGACCCAAGTATGTACGGTCGGACGGGACGGAGTTTTTATTTAGGTAACTATATGCGATGCCCTCAATAGCGGTCAGACATTTATTTGACCAGTTTTATGTACACTGTTAGTGATGTTTTATAGGATTTTATTAATAAGCAATAGGCTGGATATAAAAAGAAATGAAGAGTCTATGAGCTATTGACATATTTTTATAGTCTGAAAGACAAGAGCGTAGAAACTATTTATGCAATTGTTGTGAACACAATTAATTTATAAGAATGTCCCATCAAAAGATTTTGTCTGTAGATAGGCAATAAAATACTTTATTATCACATCACTAAGTGTCGTTGTACCTTAATTGCGTCACCAGCCTAATAGATGTGTATCTGCATACTTGCAATCAGGGATTTTCAATTTTCATGGTCAGATCGATATTTGCGAATTTGTGTACAATGCCGCGTTTGTTGTTATTGTCATCGCATAGACACATCGACAGCCTATATAAGTGCCCACTGCTGAGCAAGCGCTTCTTCTCACACGGAGAAGCTTTTAACATTAATCACAATAACATTGCTCATTGCGATAAGATATTTATAATTAAAAATTATAAGCCCAGGTTTGCTCACGATGGTTTCCTTAGCCGTAGGTATGTCAGTGGTGTCTAAATAATCATAGAAAGTACAAAATAACTCGGAAAAAATCACATTGATACGTTTGCTAGGTTTGAAACCTGCACCCTCAAGCCATAAGCCATCACGATAGTATTATTACTATGGTCATAAAGTCATAAGGTGCATTTTCCACTAGTTATTAGTTCCATAGTACGACGTATTCATTACTGAAACACTGGCTTCTATTCCAGATTCAAAACTTTAAATTAAATTCGAAATTCCAAAATTATTATGCAATCAAACCTTTCGGTAGAAGTTTCAAAGGAAATTAATTAAGTACCTACCTACTCTAGATTCGCGAACACACACAAAATTTTAAGATAACATTTATTTTACCTTGGACGTATATAAATGTAGCCTAAACTAATTACAATATGACTAAGTACTATGCACCGGAACTAAATACAAACATTATGCTACTACTGAAGATTTACTATCATATTGTTTCCTTAATTAAAAAGATCAAGAAAAATGTAACACACTTCGTATATTTACTGTAGTGATCTCAATGACTTTAGTAATTATTTTAAGTAAAATTCTATCAAATATTTGTTCTACGATAAGATAATTGTTATTACATAACAATATAGATGAAAGATTCCGTATTCATTCAAGTGTATGTATCTAATACCTTTATACAAGCTAACTTGTGTTATGTATCATTGATCTCGGAAACGGCTTCAACAATTTTCATAAAATTTTGGAAGAGGGTTTCGGGGCGATAAATCGATGTAGTCAGGTTTTATTTTCAGAAAATGTCGAAGCCAAGCAAAGCTCGATCAGTCACGTAGTTTCTTATTTGACTTTCAGTAGTGACTTTCGATCTTCGTATCAGACTGTGTTATTATTATTTTAAGAACCCGTTGATAATTTTTATATTATTGAGGTAATATAGTGTCAATAAACGTATAACAATACAACGATAAATACAAGTAGGGTTTCTCAAGGATCTGTATAATCTGTATTATTTTAGGGCCGCGTTGATAAATTGTTTATTCTATGCAATATAGTATGCCAATACAATGATAATACAAATAGTATTTACGTGCAGATTAAGAAATCTAGTACGATTTGTATTTATTTATTGGCAATTTTGAAATAAAACTATTTATCGACTTAATTTTTATTGCTTTCTACTATATTAGGTACTTGGGATTATGATAACAATGTGTTTTTAACTGTATGGTAATAAACCATAACATAGATATATTACTACGTGTATGTATGTATGTATGTATTATCTTAGGTGCGAATTACGTGAGCATTTGGTGATAAAAATAATTTAGGTAATCGGAAAAAAATAATAAGTAATTCCGGGCGAAACTAGATATTTATCATGCAGTACTTATCCTTTGGGGATTTACAGTCAGATATTAAAATAATGTACATCAAAATTATGTACTTAATGTAATAAAATAATATCAAATCTGTTATTCCCCGAAGGTATACAAAGGTGTTATAGTTCTAGTTTATACGCTTTGTACTAGTTACGCTATCATTATTGTTTCCCCATGGTGAAGCTGTTACCCTAACGGGTTACCGGGGCTCCGGCTCGAAGTGCAGGAGTAGGAACGGGGTGGTTTTTAGTCAGTGAGAGTCTGACATTCCTTCCCGCCTCACCCAGGCGGGAGAAGTCATTCGATGATATTACCCCTTAAAAAAAATACCTTTCCCCAAACCCGTATTTAACGTGTAGGTAGGTGCGATCTTACTTAAGTTATTTTTTCATTAGTTATTAGATCGTATTCATGCTTAGCCTCTCTCGATAAATGGACTATCCAACACAAAAGTAATTATTCAATTCGAACTAGTAGTTTCGCAGATTACCGCGTTCAAACAAACAAAGAAACAAACCCTTTCAATATTATTGGGTACCCCCAATTAGGGTTGTCAAAATAAATTATTTGGACTGTTCAATACAATAAAATATTTAAAAATAGATACTTTTATTAATTGATTTTATGACCAATTTAATTTTAGTATTTTTCCAGCAAATTTTTAAGAAATAAGTTTGCTGTTAGACGCTAAAAAACGTGACGTCACAATACACATTCTCGTATAAAATTCATAGAAAACAAACGTTTTTGACAGTTGGAAAAAAGCAATAAATTTGACTAGTTGGCAAGTACCCAATTGTCTACCTAGGCTAGCTACCGCTTTTGGTTGTACCGTGATATTTTACAGCCTCTCGATAACTGATCTATCCAACACAAAACATTTTTTCAAATTGGACCAGTAGTTCCCGAGATTAGCGTGGTCAAACAAACAAACTGTTCAACATTATAATTATAATAAGTATATCTAAGATTAATAGAGGGCTAAATCTAACCATCAATTAGGTACTTTCAAACAGGTTTCGCAAAAGTAGGTACTTGATTTCCTTGGGTTTATAATAAACGCATCGTTTATCTAATAAAATGAACTATAAATATTTTTAATTGATTAAATGAATTATTATTATTTAATTTCCTTTAGTAATTACTTTTATGTTTTAACATAAGTAAATATAGGTAATAATAATTAATGGTTTAGTAAGAAATTCCTATTAGTTACACAAAATAATTTACCGTATGTAGGTATTGTACGTATGTTTACGATAACGTATGTTAAATTGCAACATTGGTGCGATATAATCGATTTAACGATACAAATTCGAGTGGCCGCTAGTACAATTGTAAATCAATAGGAGTATGGGCGCTCGAATCAAGCTAAGAATTATTGGATTTTTCTCAATTTTTTTAATGTCTAATAGCATGTAGTCCGGAATTAAATGTGGTAAATGGCAATATTGGCAATACACTTATATCATACATACATACATATTACATCAACAGCTTATAAGATGACCTCTGCTGACCAAAGGCCTCTTCTCACACGGAGAAAGTATGAGCATCAATCGCCACGCTTGTTCGATGCGGGTTGGCGATTTCAAACTTATAATTAACAATATAAGCCCAAGTTTCCTCATTAGCCGAGTGGTTGCAAATGCGACTGCCGGGCAAGGGGTCTCGGGTTCGAATCCCGGGTCGGGCAAAGTAAAAATTCTCAGTAGTAGCACGCAGTCTGGAATTGTGCCCGGTATATGGCAATAAGCACTTCATGGGACTCATAACATAAATAGTGAAAAGTGGGCGTTTCATTGTACAGTGGCATAATGTGCACCTCTGCCTACCACTTCGGGGATTAAAGGCGTGATGTTATGTAATTAGCAATTATAAGCACAAGTTTCCTCACGATGTTTTCCTTCATCGTTTGTGCCTGAATAATCTTATAAAAAACAGATAATTGGGATAAAGTCAAAATTGGTACTTGGCAATGTACTCGACACCCAGTATTTATGAGGCTCACATAACGAGTCAAAGGTAGGAGTTTCATTGAAAATGTGCATCTGTGACTATCCTTTCTTGGATTAAAAAGTGTGACGTTATTTAAGTATGTAAGTAAGTGCCAAATAATATTAATTAGCGACATTTTATCCAGTCATTGAATATAAAAAAATGCAAAATATAGGATTGATGTCTTAAAAAATATTTACATTCTCTTTGAGTAGGTAAGCTATTTTGAATCCACAACAAAAACTATTGTTTGGTCTTCTTTATGATTAGGCTCAAATAATCGTGGTAATATAATAATAACAGCCTATTGTCCTACAGTATAACAAAATAAATTCACGCAGCATAAATCAACAAAATGGAGATGTTAGTTCAATGAACATTAAAGTAAACTCTAAGTTAGTTAAAAATAAAGTCTAAATTACCTCCGTTTAATTAAGAAAAAAAAATATTGTCTCTTAATTTAGAGTTAATATAATAAGTTATAAAACTTTAGTGAAAACATTTTTTTATTTTACAGATGTTTATTTTATTGCGAAAATATTACTCTTGAAAATGTGAGAAATATTTGTATATATAGGTACATTCAAAGTGGTGTGTAACAAGTTTATATGATCAGATACCTAGAAAATAAAGAATTTTGATAATTATTCCGTTTGCAAAGTAAAAAAAAAAACATTTAAAAAAATAACGGATAACTTAAGCAAGGTAGTGACCAAATAGTTCGTGACTTGTAATGGAATGTATAATTGCTCTATGGTCACTGACCATAGACTCCCACGGTATACATAACACCATCACTCCTCATTGTATTCCCATCAACGTGACAGCTGTTACGTGACCACATGACCTTTCACGTCGGAAGTAACTGTGTCAGACATCCCACCATACCATGGCCATGAATTTAAACACCATTTTAATTCAATGCAACTTTCCACTCGTTTGATCATGATTGCGATACGATGACCCCACATAAGTAAATAATCGTGTGAATGAAAATTAGAAAAACAATAAATATTTTTTTACTATAGGTAGATACTTTCATTAAAAAAGCTTTAATTTCAAACTATAAGTTGCGTGTGGGATAGTTAAGGTACGTAAACGTTGATGTGGCGTAGCTCACACGTAGTAGTCGCGTAGCCGCGGCGTAGTAAATAAGTGAACTTACATTCTATCAACTGTATTATTATAAACGTTAAAATTAGTGAGGATGTATGTACAGACTGTCTGTTACTTTTTTATGCAAATACTACTGAACACTGTGGCGTAGCCAACAGCACATAGCTCGTAGCTGTGGCGTAGCCGATAGCACATCCACGTAGCTGTGGTGCATGGTGCAGCCGACAGCTCGTATGTCGTAGGTGTGACGTGTAGCTGGCCATACGTAGCTCGTAGCTGGTGGCGTAGCCGTTAGTAAATCTACGCAGCTATGTCGTAACAAATATGGTAAGCTAATATATTTTTCTCATCTATTTTTTTTTCTTCTACACGTGCTTATTGATGACCTAAAAGAGAATTTAATCGTAATATTATCACACTATGATGACCGATTACGATAATCATTAAAGACTCTTAATTTCATAATCCCCTGTTTTTTAGTGATTTAATATGAGATTAGACAATAACAATAGTAATCTTGACATTCTACTAATGCTAATTGCTTTTTAATTGGAACCGTTTAAATTGTTATTTTTAGGGTTTTTCGGTATCGGTATGAATGATAGATAATGATCAGTTATCGAGTTTTAGATATTTGTAGGTTGTTAGGAATTTGAAATTGCTGTTAGTTTCCTTAAAGAAATACTGAAGTAGTTTTGTGCGACAGATACATCATCGTCGTATTGCAAAAACAACAAACAATAAATTAGCAAGATTGAACGGCAAATAGATGATTCGTGAACAAAACACAAATTAACTTCTAACTATGTAACTTAAATGGAAATGTCAATGTACATTAGGTATGTAGCTAGAGTTCGATTTTAGGTTTTTTAACAATTAACTTTATCGTATTGATATAAAGTCGGAAATTCTTAAGAGGTAAATATTGGAGGAGGTTGATCTTCCGACTAGTTGTATGTTTATTTGTAACATTAGCACATCACATGTGAATCGACAAAATATCAACGTGTTTGTTAACATAACATAACATCACGCCTTTTATTCTCGAAGGGGTAGGCAGAGGTGCACTATATGCCACTGTATAATGTAACACCCACTTTTCACTGTTTAAGTAATGAGTCCCATGTAATAGGGGCTGAGCCTATTGCCATAAACCGAACACAGTTCCAGAATCCGTGCTACTACTGAGAATTTTTAAAAACCCAGTAACGCTTTGCCCGACCCGGGAATTGAACCCAAGACCCCTTGTCCGGCAGTCGCACTTGAAACCATTCGGCCAACGAGGCAGTGTTTGTTAACAACTCAATATCGTCTTGACAAAGATTAGGTTTATGTGGTTTATTAAAAATATAATCCTTTAAAATATAAACAATAAGTTCGTTACTTTTATCTATTTTCCCGTTGTTACGGAAATAGGTATCGTATTTCATTTGTGTAGTTTTAATTATTTCATAGGTACATTGCGTGTATGGTTACCACACAAAATACCGGTGTTGGTAACTACACAATTTTTGGGAATCTCAAAGTTTCAAATTTTATATTGATTTTAAGATTTGACCTTTTTCCCAATTGTAGTAAGGGTGTTGTATATTCACGAAATCGATTTTTTAAACTTAGTAGGTACAATATTACGCAGGTATAGGTATGTATATTATTTATTAAAAATTTTTACCTTACTAGAGTATCTGTATTTTTCCCAAACGAAACGAAAGTAGAAATTTTTCGTACTTTTATCTAATAATGTGCCTTAAAGTTTAAGAATAATATGGACTTGATGGAAAATATCAATAAGTCCTAAATTTTTCCAACAGATATGATACAATTCATTATAAAATGCAACATACAGGGTGGAATTTTGTAATGCCACCTGAAGGGGAAGTACTCTTAGTACTTTAGATAGAAAATTTTACTCAAAACATTCTTTATTTTCCTTGACTTATTATTGACCCTGACGATCGATGCAATAAAAGTATACAGGGTGCAACTTTACAGATATTAGTCGGTTAGATTGTTGTGCGGCAAGCGAATTTCTAAAAATCTTTGAACGCAGTTTTCTTTTTTTTTTCAAAAATAAAGGAATGTTTTCTTTAAGTATAATTTGCTATATAAAGTATTAAGACTACATCCCCTTCAGGTGGGATTACAAAATTCCACCCTGTAAGTCCTAAGTCCATTTTTTTCACAACAACAATACCAAATAATGCGACAGTCAATTGAAATGCAATAAAACTACCTAAGTAGCAGTTTTATTAACAAGCATGGTAATTAATAATTCTATTTCATAATCATACATATCGCTAAGGTTTGATTAACATAAACGGTTTTTTTTTCACCACTAGAAAAGTTGCAAATGCACTCATAATTTCCAAGTTTTTATAACCACAGATTCAATAACATTAGTGGGTAAATCTTAAACAGATATTTAAATAAGAGTTATGCAAACTTTATGCCGGGACCTGATTCTGAATAATTAATAATTATGTACGCGTTTAAACTGGTGTTATTAAATGAAATGATAATGTTTTGTTCATTTACATCTGAACAAATAAAAACCTACGTTATTAGTGGTTGTGATACCAAAGCAGGTACGAGTAAACGATTTCAACTTATTATGAATTTCTGTCACTAACAAATGTGTGAATAGGTAATATGTCGGTAAATATTTATTTATACTAACCTTGCAGATGTTCAATGTTTTCATCAACTTCGGGCAACAAGTGCATGAAGGTGGTCGCGAACAGGATTCCCCCTCCGAATGCCAGTAAACCCATTACCAGCTGATTGGAGTTACGTAGGTTGGCGTCTCCCGTCTTGAACCAGTCCCACTTTAGGGATATAAGCAACGGCAAGCAGCCAGTTATCATGGATATCCCGAACAGGCATACCATTGAGATAATTTTTGCGGTCAGGGCTTCAGCCTCTGCGTCGGCGTCCATTGTGAAACTCATCTTCTTTTATTAATTTTTTGTTAAAATTTAATTATTTTTGTTCCGCCGTAAAACGGTCGATTGTGTCCGTACGGTGTGTTATGCGCGCGCGCGCCTCTGTCTGATCAACGATCAGTCGACTGAGCTTGTTTCCTGCGCTCCTGCGCTTGTAGGCGGCTCTTGATAACGACTCATTATTAATGATAAAAATGACAGTAGTTTGTTCGCTGTCGCATCAATAAGCTGCTGCTTGTGAGTATAATCTAGTGCTAGGGTAATCGTATAAGCGATAATATCTGATTACCAATTCGCTAAGGTAGTAAAACCACTACAATAGCACATAAATGCGGAAACTGGTTGCAATTTCTATTGAAAAATAGCTACTTATATGTTGAAAGTACCTACTTATTTACTATTATGGATTATTTATTATGAAAAAAAAACAAAGAGCAATATTGTGTAGATGAGTGTGATGGGCAGTAATTAAATTGTTTCTGGGGCTTGGAGGCCATGCCATTTACCCGATATGCTATTGCATACACCTGTGTTTTATCAAAATTACTTTTTGCGTAATTTTTGGGATACCCTTTAGATACCTGTACAATCTATAAGAAGCACTACGAATCATTTGCATCAGTTGTCAGCAAACTACAAAACTGCTCCGATACCTATTTGTGTCAGCTATAAAAAAAATTGTAAATTGTAGGTCCCATTCTCAGAGCAAGATATTAGATAATCGTAGGAACATAAACAAAACACGGAGCCATAGGCGTTGATAATGTACCAATCAAACTATTGTCTCATCATAGCATATTATTTTGATCTCAAAATTGTTTACGATCCCCTATTCATTTCTCAAGCGTGGGGATTAAGGCAAATCTAATTTTAAAAGCCTTTGTTTAATAGTGGACATGTTGATGCTTGACTATGATTGTTTCCAATCCGCGGTTTCAACATCTCAAATAACAAATGCTTAAAGGCCGTATACGGTGAACTTGTCGTGTAGGTAGGTACCATTAAGGGCTATAAGTATTTCACCGGTATACCATGTCGGACGGCGCAACCATTTGTCGCGACCAACAAAATGTATACAGCTCTATAGAGTTAGGTACTCACCTGATGTAGGTTTGGTTGCACAACCAATCTGAAGGTACCACCAGCTCGAATAATACAACGCTGTTCACGCCGCCACTAATTACTATAGCGGTTAACGCTTCAGCCGTCCAAGACGGCGCGACTGGTTGCGCCGCCATGGTGTCTCAGTGAAATATAGCCCTAAGAGAATTAACAGAAATAAAGGTTTTCAATGTTAATAATTTGTAAAAAAAATACATAATTTATACAATTAGTATGTATTACCTGAAAAATGTGACTAAAATCCTTTATAGACACATTAGTCACATTATACCGAATTGTTTAACTGCAGCCATCTATGTGTACATCTAGATAAGCTTCTTACAAACAAATCTTTGAGCAGTTTGAGCATTATTGATTAATTTAAGAAACAAATTACTTTAAACGAATCAATGTACCATAACTATTAGATATCTACCATCTACAACCCAACTTTATACGTTATCTATCTAACTTAAAAGTCAAAACAAAAGACTGTCATTTACATAAGTTTGAAGTTATGTTCTGTCATTCAAATGTCATCGCAAAAGTTTGTTTTTTGTTTTCAATGAAACATAAAAATGTTTTGTAAATCAATTAATTAAAGTAAAAGTTATAGTTCTTAATAATGATAAATAAATCATTATTTTATAATATTTAAATAATGTAGTAAATGTATTTGTATGTGAATTGAGTCAGACCTATGCTAAATATTAAAAATGCGTAAAAAGTTTGTTTACATTGCCTTCTTGATTGGTATAGCACTCACCAGCTGGATATATTGGCAATCGAATGCAGAATTTCATGATACTGTCGCCGTTATTAAAAGGAAAATATACAAATTAAACGATGTTACACTTAAACCAGCGATAACGTTTTGCCAAAGTAATTAATATCTATATTTTTCCTTAATTTAATAGGTACCTGCGAAACACGAAATAAGTTACTTTTCAAATGATAAAGGATCAAAAACAGTGGAAACATCAATAAAATTAACTTGCAATTGCAAATAAGTACACTTAGAACCTACCATTTACTGATTTGTTTCTGTGATAACTTACAGGTCATCCATTTTTACTTATAATCGTAACTTCATATGTTGGTCATGTGGAGTTACGAAGTGCTCATAGAAGAGCTATGCCTGCCGAGAAGTTGAGGGAATTGAATGCAGCTAGAATATTTTTGTTGGCCCAAATACCGGACAAAGAAAAGTAAGGACTCACCACCAATTAATATTTTGTCGTAAATTAGAAACATGAAGAGCAAGGAAAATAAATATTTTATTTACAAATGAACATTACCTAACTTATGGCAAGTTTACCTTTTTTCAGATACATAACTCAATCTGCAATAAATGACGAGAGCAACACTTTTGGTGATATCTTACAAGGAACATTCACAGAAAACTATAGAAACTTGACATATAAACACCTGATGGGCTTGAAATGGGCCTCAACTGTGTGCCAGGATGCAACATATATACTCAAAGTGGATGATGATACAGTATTCAGCTTGGAAAGAACCTATGAATTTTTGAAAGCATTAAAATATACTGAAGACCTATTATTAGGATATATGCTGAACAATACCAAGCCAAGAAGAAATAAGGAGAACAAATGGTATGTCACTTGGGATGAATACTCTAGATCAGAATACCCTTTATACCTATCAGGGTGGTATTACATCACTACTCCTAAAGTTGCAGGAGACCTGTGTGATGAAGCAATTTACCATCCATACTTCTGGATTGATGACATTTTTATAACTGGCATCCTCAGAGAATCACTTGGTATCAAATTAAAACAACTCCCAGACACATACTGGCTGGAATATTATGAGTTACTTGAATGCTGTATAAATGATATGATTAAAAAATCAATTGAATGTGAATATGTTGTGGGACCAAATGGGAATAGAAATAATTTAATTGTAGAATACAATGATGCAGTAAACCTATGTGATAATAAGAAAAACTGTACCAAGAGGACTGCAGATCAAGACTTACATAAAACATGTGTTGCACACCAAGAACGAACTATATTTGGTGATGGTGGGCAGGTAGAAGTAAAATCTATAAAATTGTAAACATGGAACACATTAAATTTTGTGTTAGAATACTCTAAGGCTAGTTTTAGTGTCACACTGACAGCAGAGAAATATGAATTACTAGGAACCATGCGTGCCGATCTGCTGCATAGCGCTGACGGTGTGCGCGACACTGAAACCAGCCTAATTTGTACATAGTAACTACAACAACTTATGAACTTATAAATCAATTTATATGACCATGTGATATTATGTTACCTACATAATTTAATTGAAACATAATTTAACAAACCATTATTTCATGGGACCAATAAGTTGAAAAGTGGGTGTTATATTGTTTAAATGTATTGTGTACCTTTCCCTACCACCCAAGGCGAGATGTTAAGTTGTTAACGTTAATATTATATACAGAAACATAAATGTGATTTATGGTGTAATAAAACTAAGTTAGTAATGATGTTTAAAAAATTTCTATTGTCAAATTAACATATTCATTTCAACACATGTATAAAGATACAGTAAACACAGAAGATACTTATTATTGAAAACAGTTAATATGGCACTAATTACAGTGTATCAGTCTACAAACAAAAATTGATCAATTAAGTAACTTTAGAATATAAAACTAATATATTTTACTAATTTATTCTTATTACATTAAGTTGTAAGAAAATAGAACAATTCTTATAACATGGAATATGTCAGTCATTGTTATAAAAATGCGAGGCGCATAAACAATAATATAATATGATAACAATAAAATATTAATTGAGCTAAATTTGCAGTTCGTTTAATTTCCATTCAGTCAGGAATTGAGCCAGGCGTTCGTAATAGAACTGCCGTTGACCGTGCAGTCTTTGAACCCCTTCATAACATATGAAGACTGATACCATCGTGCAGTATCAGTGGATTCTATCTCATTGTATTCATTCACAGTTTCTTCAGTTTCGTCTAACTGCAAGTTTTGCAATTCTTCATTGACAATCTCTCCAAATATTTGGAACTCATTACAGCACGATAGATTATCAAATGTTTTGGTTCTAAAATCTAAAACCACAATTTTAGAGTTCCTGGGTATTCTACAGCCACTTGTAAATACGAAGTTGTCACTGTCTATGATGCTGTCTAGGTTGTTTATCAACTTTTTCTTGATAAACACATACAAATTGGTGGGTTGGAGTTGGTTAAAGAATACTTGGCTTAATTTCTCTGATGTTACTAACGTCCTGGAATCAAAAAATGATGATTACATTTACATTATATAAAGTACAATGCTTCTTTTTTTAATTTTAATGCAAGAGGAGAAATTTTATTATTAATTAGACTGCACAGTTGGCATGGTGGCTGTGTAACCTTCAACTTGTTAAGGAGTTGAGTCCTGCACGGAGCAAGTCTTCATGTGATCCCTAAATTTTTGTTTTAGGTTTTGGTATCATGTATTAGTACTTGTATGTTTAAAAACACCCACGAGACAGGAGATAATCCTAGTGTAGGATAATGTTTATATAATATTACCTACCTAAACACACTCCTTTGTATCTTTTGGTCATTGGCTATGACAGTAGAGTGACACTGTGGTCTATGACAAGTTGCAGGCAAGAGTACCCTGTAGACTTCCTTACAGGTCACTGGGGTGGCTCCCAGGGCAATACACACTTCATCAGGAATAGAAGGACCGCTGACTTCTTTTTGAAGACTCTGCAAGCGACAGTAAAAAATGTTTAGATAGAAATCACTCCTACTAATAATAAGTATTGCAATGTTCCTAAAATCATACCGAAATGCGTATTTATTACTCTTCATGCAAAAAAAAATACTGAACGCATGGTTTATGGCACATGAATTGTTTAAAATATAATTTGATTTATGTAGGTTATGTACAGCTGTAATTGGTCTTCAGGTTCACTTATTATTTATAATTAAGATTGTTGTGTACGATTTCAATCTGTCGTCTGTATCTGTACTTATCTAAAATAAATAAACACATGATAGGAAAACACCACAACAATAAAATAACACGAAAGCTTATACTTAGGTAATAATTAAGTTACCTTCAAAATGAAATCTAAGTTTTCCAAAGCAGTAGAGGCGGTTCTAAAATGTCTTTCAGATTGAAAGCTTTCCTTCACGTTATCATCTTCACATGATTTCTTCTTTGTAATAACTTGCTTCAACCACTGATATGAATATGGTATTTGTAATCTTTGATACACTAAAAATTTGATTAACTCTACCACAACATGACCACAAGATATGTTTGTTAATTGATCACCAATTTCTAAATTCAAAACAATCGGTTTGTTTGATGAATTCATTTTTATAGACTTTTATCTTTCATTAAATTTGCCGTTATTTTCAAAAGTAGTGTTCAATTCAAAACGACAGTGATAAGACCGACAGTGACAGACCACCAAAGTCATAAGTGACAACAGACAACTGACTTGAACTGACAACTGAAACTGACATCACACATTGGGCAAGCAAGACAATGTAATAATCACAGAGTTTATAACTTCTACAATAGGTCATAGAGTAAGGGAAGGAGGATTTTTTTTATATATTATATTGTGCGATGGAAATCCTCTTGGACTTCCAACGTCGTAGGGGGCATACCCACAGACTTAAAATAGATAAGCAGACTGATCATTAGCTATTAGTGAAGCCAAAAACATCATGCGCCATTTGTAGCTTAAACGGGGCCGGACTAAGGTCGGTATTAGAAATAAAGGACATTAATTATTATACCTACATAGAGATAAGCGTGTTTTTGGGATAAATAGTCAATATTTATAAATACTTAATAAATATCAATGTTTACTATAATTTTTATGTATGTATTACTGAAAATGTATGAGAATCCTATTATATTAACATCCTATTATATCCTAAAAAATATAATTTTTAGTATTCAATAATTTTAATGACCTCATAATATAGAAAATGTATAAAGGATTGTTTTTTGAAATAAAACACGTTGAAGGGAGAATAATATGTTTTATTAAGGCACTTGTTACCATAGACACTCTTAACTAAATATTAAAACTAAATCTCAAAACACTGACCACTTCCAAGACAAGTTCTTTCCTTGTCCTGTCCTGTTTATTGTTGTACATTCAATATACAAAAATTCTTAAGCATTTCAGGTATATGTATATTACGATGATGATTATTATGTTTTCGGCTTACTCACGTAATAATTTGACGAGGAACTCGACTAGTTTCAAGCCATGTTAGAGGCTCATATTGACGAGCAGCATTTTGCGACCCGCGACGCGGTGACTGTCGCGCTGCTACTGACGGTTATGTGTTAATTTATTTAGTATGTCTCACGAAAGTTACAATACAAATATGATGATGATATTGTTTAATGATATAAAAGAGAATTAGGATAAAATTGATAAACAGTGGGTATATAATATAATTTAATTATAATACAATTGCAACTATAATACAATTGTAAAAAACAAGTAACTATTACACAATATGAAAACAATATATATATATATATATTTTTTTAACTTTTCGAACTACTAAATCCGTCCTCTGTTGATTCCATAAATATTTGAACTGTCATGAATGAAAAATTAAGTTGATTTTAAATGTTTATTATAGGCGTAATAGTTGATTAGGCTTTATCATACATGATGAAACATTATCAAAACAGTTGATTTATTTCAAAAAATCGACAATTTGTATTGGTATACAGCAACGTAAATAAAAACTTATCGATGAAAGGTTATTCCAGGTATTTTCTTATAGCTATTGCTGTCACATCGGTACGCACTGCACTTAACCATTTTATTTTAGATTATTTAAAAATTTAATGATATAAACAATTAATATTTTCTTTTATAACAGTTGTAGGTAAGTAAAGATATCAATATGGCGAAACGGAAACACTAGCTACATGTCAATATTTGTCTATGTGTAGAGCAGTGTGGATATAGGTAAAAGAACGAAACGCCATTATTAGGTTGGTGCTTGACAGAACAAGGACAAAGAATGAGGGATGTCATATACGTATAACTAGGAGTTAATGTTCGGTCTGCTTATCTATTGTTAGTCTATAGGCATGCCGAACTCTTATCGACTAAAAATACTGCCGTGCCTGTCGATCCGGGTTGCTCTTAAGAATTCACCCCACCCGGCAAGTCTGAACCCATCGTTATGTTCGTGGCAAGTCCCACCACGATAGCGGCCCTGGCAGGTTGCTTTTCTTCTTCGTGTGGCGCGCGTGAAACACTACGCTAACGCCTATTGCCGCCTATACAGCGGATGCGGATGCCCTCAGGCCTCTCCTATCAAGGGTGCAGCTCGGCCGCCACCTCACGGCGCTGACGATCGACGCGTCTACGGCGGAGGGGAGAGGGGAGAATATTGCAGTTCTCTCTGCCTTTCAGCCGCTTCCTTTATTACCACAATGAGTGACTGACACTGAGTTGCTTCTATCTGTGAACAAGACACTAAAACGGTTTCAGGACGTCCTCGTTGCCTGAATAAATAGAACCACTATACTTATTATACTCTTTGTAGGCTGAATTTGGGAGACTCTTTATTTGCTAATGGGTATATGAACTTTTTAAAGTTTATAATTTATAAGGTTGAATTGGCCACCTTTATGTATGTCTACACACAATTAATTAAAAAAAATATATATCAAAAATTCTTAATTCAAGTCATTCAATTATTTTCCAATATTTCGCGCACTGCCGCTGTTCCCGTTTAAATTCAAATTTCAAATACTTTAAAATTGGAAAACGTTTACGTCAAGTTAAAAGTCTTTTTTATAAACTTATGTCTAAAAATGCTCCGAATTCCGCGAATTATACAAAATGCTTCCAAAAGTCTGAAAATACCAACTGTAAATTCATGTCGTTTTTACGCAAAAGAAGTAAGATTCGGGCCGGATGTTAGATCTCTCATGTTACAAGGAGTTGATATCTTAGCCAATGCTGTAGCCGTCACCATGGGACCTAAAGGGCGCAATGTGATCCTGGAACAAGGTATGGGCCCTCCTAAAATTACTAAAGATGGTGTAACAGTTGCGAAAGGTATAGAATTGAGAGACAAGTTCCAAAACATTGGTGCCAAACTTGTCCAAAATGTTGCTCACAAGACTAATGAAGAAGCTGGAGATGGAACAACAACTGCTACAGTCCTGGCGAGAGCCATTGCAAAGGAAGGATTTGAAAATATTTCTAGAGGTGCTAACCCAATTGAAATAAGAAAGGGAGTTATGTTAGCAGTAGAAGTTGTGAAAGACAAACTAAAAGAAATGTCTGTAGCTGTAAGCACAGCGCAAGAGATAGAACAAGTAGCTACTATATCTGCTAATGGGGACAAAAGCATTGGCAAATTAATTGCGGCAGCAATGAATAGAGTTGGCAAAACTGGCGTTATTACAGTTAAAGAAGGTAAAACGTTGAATGATGAACTAGAAGTGATAGAGGGGATGAAATTCGATCGTGGCTTTGTTTCTCCATATTTTATAAATTCCAACAAAGGCCCTAGGGTCGAATACAATGATGCTAGCATTCTATATTCGGAAAAGAAAATATTTACTGCATCTCAATTAGTGCCAGCTTTAGAGATCGCAAATGCACAGAAGAAACCTCTTGTAATAGTTGCGGAAGATTATGATGCTGAGCCTTTGTCAGTTTTGGTAGTTAATAAATTGAAAATTGGTTTGCCAGTAGTTGCAGTTAAAGCTCCTGGGTATGGTGAATACAGAAAAAGTGCTTTACATGACATGGCTGCAGCAACAGGTGGAGCCGTATTTGAAGATGATACAAACTTAATAAGACTAGAAGATTGCCAACCCGAAAGTCTTGGTGTGGTAGGTGAAGTTATAATAACAAAAGATTCAACGCTTTTACTAAAAGGAAAAGGTGATCCAACAGAGGTAGAACAACGTATAGCAGAAATAAAAGATGATTTAGAAAACGCTACCAGTAATTTTGATAGAGAGAGGCTTATCGACCGTTTAGGTCGACTTCAAGCGGGTGTTGCTGTTTTAATGATCGGAGGTTGCAGTGAAGTCGAAGTAAATGAGAAAAAAGATCGAGTAAATGACGCTTTAAATGCTACTCGGGCAGCTATTGAAGAAGGAATTGTACCTGGAGGTGGGGCAGCTCTTTTACGGTGTATTCCTGCTTTAGATAAATTAAAACCTGCCAATTCTGACCAAGCAATAGGTGTGTCCATAGTGAAAAAAGCCTTACGAACACCATGCATAACGATTGCTAGTAATGCTGGATATAATGGCGCGGTTGTGGTGTCGAAAGTGGAAGAAATGAGTTCTGAATACGGCTATGATGCTTTAAATAACGAATATGTCAATATGATTGAAAGAGGCATTATTGATCCTACGAAAGTCGTTAGACGAGCAATAACTGATGCCAGCGGTGTTGCTTCATTGCTTACTACCGCAGAAGCAGTTATTTGCGAGTTGCCGAAACAAAAAGAAGTTTTGCCCGACTATATTCCTATTGGAGGAGACCTTTAATTTCTTATTATTTTTGGACATATAGTCATTTTAATATTTAATAAATTTGTTGATTTTAAAACATGTGTGATTTTTATTATCTACACGGACGAAGGCAACAGCTAGTTGACAAACTTTTATTTTCTTATTAGCGTTTACTCACTTTTCCCCGCGTACCTATTCCTATTTTATCCCATGTGAGCATTTAGTTGGGATAAATTCCATCCAGTAGATTCAGCGTGATTGACGGATGAACATCCAAACAAACAAACGAACTTTCACATTTATACAGATAAATAATTGTCGGTTTGTAATATAGAAATAACTGCTTTTTATTATTTACATTTACATCGCTTTTTATATTTACTTTTTATTATTTATAAATATACGTACGATACATGTACCAAAATAACACTATTTAATTTTTTTATCTGTCTGTTTGTACTAGTTAATCTTTGAAATGGCTGGACCGATTTTGACGGGATTTTCATTGGCAGTAGCTAATGTACAATCTACTAAGGCGTACATTTATTTTAGAAAATCGCAGACGAAGTTGCGGGTTCAGCTAGTCTGTAATATTAGTGCTATTTATAAAATAATCTAGGTAAACGCTTACGTTTAGGTGCTCCTTGTGTCTCTCCGCATTATTGCCACTGTGGATAAAGAGTCAATGAAGAGATTTGGGGTACATGGGATCTTTCTTGTTGCAGAAGTGCAGGCATCATAGCTCGCTATGCCAGCATCAACGACATCTAATGGTTTGGTACGTGATGACGGCAAACGGCAAGAGACCAGTTGGTAAATCGTTGCTGTCTTGGAAGATGGATAGGGCTTTGGTGTGAGACGCGACGTGTGTAGACATATCCTTGCGCCCTCACATCTTCTAAGTAGGTACCGCTACATGCGCTGGTTCGGCCATTTTCGCGACAGAGGCCCCTAAACGGCGTAAATATTCAAATCTAGTGGGTACCTACTGTTTTGAGCCATTTGGAGTTGAAACACTTGGGCCATGGGGTCCCAGTTCACACTCTGTCTATGAAGATAGCCCGTAGACTGATCGCCTCTATACGTGACCAGAGGGCTGGCTACTTCTTCGGACAGAAAATAAGCATTGCCATTCAACGTGGCAATGCTGCCAGTCTTCTGGGAACGTTCCCCGGTGATAGTGATGCGGACGAGTACTTTGACACCTTTTTATTGTTAAAATAGAAAATCCTATAACTTTTAAAAGAAATACGTATGTCTATGGTTTACCAAAGTAAACGTCAAAATCAGTGCTCAAGTGCCAGTTGTGACAGCTGTCACAGCTGCAGATGATTTATTTTGGCGCGAATATTTCCTCTTGTGGTAGGTTGTGCCCTACTTTACTTTGTGGTTTATACACAGGTAATGTGCTTACTTGGTTGTTTTCATTACGGATTCGGATTGATTTCGAAAATGTTACTTATTTTGAACGAGATAACTTCAGTGACTTTTGAAAAGTAGTTTATTTATCTTTGGTTCCAATTAATCGGTAGTCAACAACAAAGAATGCTGTCTCGTCGTGGTTCTTCTGACATGGAGTCACTGAATATTGCAGAGAAGACTTTAAATAGTTTAAACTCTAGTGATGATGAAGGTGGTCCTATACAAAGAACGAAGAAACGAATACAGAATTTCTCTGATAGTGATACAGAGAAAGAAAACTTAGAAGTAAATATCCAAGATGGTATCCAACCTAGTGAGAGTGATAGTGAATCAGAGACTGTTCCTATTAAAAGCGGCAAAATCAAATCTAGGATTCACATGGATATTTCTTCTGATTCTGACACATCAAACAAACATGGAAGTGTAAAGAATGAGGGACAACAAATAAGGATGAAAAATAAGAGGAATAAGTTGAAGGATAAGTTCAAGAGCCTGTTGAATTCTAGAGAGAAACATACACTACAAGAAAATAGTAGTAATGAATCAGAGGGCAGTCACAATGCAGTGTCAGATGCTTCTGATGAGGAGATGTCATCTATTTCAAAAATAAAACAGGTATGTAACTTAATATACTAGGTACCATTTTTAACATGTCTTTGAGCATACATGGATTATTATTGTATATAACTTATGAATACTTACAGCGAACAAAAAGTAACCTTATACTTTGTTTTGTATGGAACTGATGTAAGTAAAAATCTGGGATCTTCTACTCTCTAATGCTAATTTTAAATAGATTTCATAAACTCTCAGACATCAAGATAAACTGAAGAAATGGTTGATGAAAATTTTATATATGTACAATTTAAAAAAATCTATTACTCAAAATTGTATCTATATGCTTTATTTTCTTTACCTGATTAATATTGTATTTGGAAATATATCATTATAAAAAATAAAAACATCTATGCAATTATTTAAGTATTTATTATTTTCAATTTTTCAGAAAATTAAAAAGAGCATGGCAACTGTGTCTTCAATTTGTGACCCAGACACATCAGATGAAGAGGCCACAACAAATGCGAAACCAAAACAGAAGCCCAAGAAACAGAAATCTACAAAACTAATTGAACCCAAGCCAGTTAGAGTAAGTACTTGTTTTAAAAACTGGAAAAGACTAGAATCATCCAGAATAAATACCCTTTGTTGAACAATGGTCTTCCTAGTCTGACTCTTGAAATCTGTCACTTGCTTAAAACACTTAAATAAATCAGGACTGTCCAAACAAAGGCCGGTGGGCCCAATGTGGCCTTGTTTTCATGTGGCCCGCGACCCACATTTTAATCTCAACATCTTCATCTATAACATACAATAACAATTATATAATTCAGTGTATGATTTGTATGCAAATTTTGTCTATGGGTAAATAATACAATGTTAAATACAATGAAAATATTTTTTGGTCCTCCGGCTTTTGTAAGAAATTTAATTAGTTTGCGAGGGTATATAGTTTGGACAGCCTTGAAATAAAACATTAATATTATAATTCTAAATCATTAAATATTATAATTTCTCCTCTATTTGTTATACAATATTTTCAAGGTACAGTGGGACATAAAAAGTTCCGCTCTAAGTTCATAATTTCACTAGCCTTAATCACCACATTTATCCTTTAATATTGAAAAAATAAAATATAGACATCTTATATCTGAATCATATTTGTTTTGTTAATGATAATTCATTTTTAGAAGTTATTATTTAACTTATTCATGTTCCACTAATGCATCTACATTATTTTTTGTGTACACTTGTTTTACTTAGTATTAATTAGCTAATTATATGTTCTCAGATGTCAGCTAAACAAGCAATGGAGAATATGCAATTAATTAAAAGTGAGTCAAATCGCATGCTGCGAGAGAAGGCAGTATCATTGCCGTACCACAGACCTAAAGCCCTGTCCCTCAAAGATATTATGTCCAGAAGGAAGCCTGCGGTAGCATCTGATGGAAAAGCTCTACCTATTAAAATGAATGAAGAGCAGTTGAAACATTATGCGTAAGTGTTGTACTTTATCTTATATCTAAGGCGAAATTCAAATCTGCACAGTTAGGAAATTGAAAATATTATTATTTCCTTTTCAGATCATTATTAGAACAGAGACAGAAGGAAATGATGGAATTATGCAAAAGTGAGTCTGATGAAGAGACTCCTGATACTGAAGAAAAAAGTAAAAATACTGAGCAGGAAACCGAGAAACCATCTGATATTGCTAAACCAGAAGATGAAATACCCACTGAGAAGTGTGATACAAATGTTTTAGTACAAAATCTAGACAATGATTTGCCCGCTGTCATGAATGATAATATAGACGCTGAGAAAATAGTAGAGGAAATTGCGACGAACATAATTTCACCTGAAGGCGATGCCGAAGGTGGTACCGCAAATAATGACCATGATAATGAAAATACAAATGAGCCAAATGATGAACAAAATAGTTCTGTCAAAGATGATTCCAATACAGATTTCAAATTGGTTTACAATGATTCTGTAGAAGAAGAACAAATAAAGCTAGATGAGAAAGAGAGTACAGACATTACTAATAAAGAGGCTACTGATCAAGTCAATGTACCTGAAAATAATGTAGAAAATTATAATGATTCTGAGCTACAAACTAAAGGGAATACTGAGGAAGAGAGTCAATTGATATCCTTACATTACACTGAAAACAATACAGAACAAATAGACGAAAATATGGAAAAACCTGAAGCCGATGTTGTTACTGAATCTAAAGATAATGATGGTTATGAACAAAGTAATGAAGTGGTAAATGAAGATTTCTTCTCAGATGATGATGTTAATATGGAAGATATCGATAAACTCATTGAAAATGCTGAAATTTTAAGAGGTTTTTATTTATTTTATATTAATTTTTTTTTTAATTATACACAGAACCTTTTTACATTCTACCTATTTTTTATGATTTCAGATGATGACAATATTAGTTATCCAATGCTTGTAAAAGATCCACCCAATTTAAATGCTAAACCTAAATTGACTGGTGCTCCTGGCATGGTTATTGACTTGGATGGTGGTTCTGTTATGTCCAAGAAGACTGGTGTTGAACTGCTAAAAGAGAGATTTACATACTTTGCGAAGTTAAAAACTCCCGAGGAACTTGAAAGAGAGAAGGAAAAGAGGTTAGTATTATTTTTCTCTATTTAAACCTGGTCTCTAGAATAATTATAAGGAAAAGTAAGTTGAATTGCATGGTTTTTTAACAAGAAGCAACTATGCTTTTGTTTTCTTTTTGTTCAGATACAAAATATTGAGTGTATCCCAATAAAACACCATCAAATGGTTCATTTGAGTGTCAATTTTTTTCTGATTCCAGGATAAAACCAGGTGCTCAACATTTGAAATTGAAACAAGAGCTTGAGGAACAAATAGCAGAACAAAGATCCCTTGAATGGGCCAAACGTTTAGAAGAGGAGAAACAACAGCATATGGAAATGGACACCATCTTAGATGATGCTGATGCTGACGACAGTATTGAGAAAATTGAAGAGAAATTAGAGGAGACTGAGGCAGAGAAAGAGGGAGAAATTTCAGAAAGTGAAGAAGAGGAAGAATTGGAAGAAAATGACATTGAAATGAAAGATAAACCCAGAAAACATAACCCAATGGTTGATGAGGAAGCAGAGGAATCGGATTGTGATGAAGAAGATGAAGGCATTGCAAAGGATGATGAAAATAATGATGAAGTTGATGATGATGGTGGACAAGAGGATGATGGAGATGATGAGTCCAGTGAAGAAGAGTCCTCGGAGTCTGAAGAAGAAGAAGAAACGAGTAAGCCTAGGAAAGGAAGGATATTAAAAGCATTTGAGGATTCTGATGATGAAGACGTGACAATTAAGGAAAAGGAAACAAAAGAATCAGTTTCTGACACTGAAAAAGTTGTGGAATCAAAAATAAATGATGATCAAGCATTAGTGGAAACAAATAATGCTGATGGAGTTGCAGAAACAAATAATACTGATTTGGCTGAAACTCCTATTGAAGGTGGAAGTTCATCACAAGGTGCTTATCTCAGTTGAATATTCTCCGTCTCATATTGAATTGGAATTTTCACATGTTATGACAGTTATTTTAGACTGCATGGTTAGGGCATGGGCAACCAGTTGTGTCTATGTGAACTTACGACGCAGGAGAAAATCCTACAATAGTTAAGTGGAAAAAATAAGAATGCCAAGTAGGAAATGAACTCACTACACGCATGTATGTCAATTTGTTTTTAGAATTAATAATCATTATTGTTTTCAGATGACGTCATTCAACTCGCTCAGAGACACCAATCCGTATCAGATGATGTTTTTACAAGTCAAGAGAGCACTCTCATTGACCAGACGAAAGACGGGAATAATGTCGGTGACGAAGTCCTTGGCACACAGACATTTTCAATCTTAGAGACTACTACATCTGGATTACATTCTCCAAGTAAATTAAATATCGATGTCGAACTACAATCTCCTAGCAAATTAAATATTTTGTGCATGTCTCAGCCTTATCATGATGTAAGTATTGACTTCACTACATATAGTATAAAAGTTTCTTTTTCTGTCCATCAGAACCTATTTTTTTCTAAATCGTTTTAGAGGCTTTTATCATAGATATGTCAGCCCATCATACTCTTTTTCAGCTCTTATTTATGCTTAGATCTATAAAACTAGGCAACATATTTTGATATTAAGGTTTTTTAATAGATAGGGTGATTCAAAAGAAATGCATAATATAGTACAGAAAAACACTGATTACCATCGAAGCCAGGCAGGTCACTAGTTCATTATATATGTGCAGTTTATTTATCTGGATAATCTTGCCTGCCAGAATGACTAGAAGGACTATTATATCGACATTCCGTTGACTCTCGTGCTCCCTGTACATAGTGCTTCCTCCGGATTCATATCTCTTTATTTTATCATACTTTTGTCATAATTAATGACTCTAATCATTAATTATGACAAAAGTGAATATATGAATACATATGGACGGTTCTTTTGTGGTATTAATTATAACCATAGTTCAACTTTATAACATTAACCTTTATTTATCTCCAGCCAAGTATAGATGGTATTGTGGAGGGCTCACAGCTCCCAATATCCCAAACATCACAGTCACAACCACTTGGCGAAGATGTATTAGCTCTATGTACTGGCAAGTTCTATGACAATGAGTTTGTATCACCAACTGAGGAAAATCAATATGTGGACGACTTCACACAACAATTATCCCTAGATAAAATTGGTGATACTCAACTTGATAAAACCGCGAATGGAGTACTGAATAGAGACAATGAATTGGGAATTGATAAAGAAAGTGCAACTATAGAAGACCAAAATATGAATAAGGAGGATTCTCCCAAGCCAGACGAACCCGATGGAAACCTTCTCAAGTCCATACTAGATGAGTTACATGACCCAGAATTTGATAAACCAAAAGAAAACAAATTCTTCACTGGTGGTACACAAAAGAAAGATAGTGCCAAAGTTCTAGAAAACACTCAAATGAAAAAGAAGTTTGTAATAGATTCTGATGATGAAGCAGCTGAAGCTAATGTAGACTCTGAACAAGCAAAGAAAAAGAAATTGAAGAAGAAACGACCAGAAAAGAGGGCACTCCAAATCTCAGGTATGTATTATTGTATTTTGTTGCTTATTTCTAATGTGTGTATACTTAAAATTACGTATTTGTTATATCTCAGCTCTCATACCAATTTTGACCTCATATTTTATTAAATCAGAAAATGAGGGCTAAAAAGGAAATGTAATGTCATGTAATGTATGCATATTAAATGAAAGTCTGAACTATCACCGAAAATTATTTGCAACTCAGTCTAAATACTGAAAAGGTGTCGAGTAAAAGATTTTTTATCTATTTTTAGATGATGAAGAAGAAGAGGAGGAGAAACAAATGGAAGATGATGATATGTCAGACTTAGAAGAAGATAATGAGAGATTAGTGGAATATGACTCTGAGGAAAATGAGGTATATAATTTGAATTAATAATAAATTATAATTATATGGTAAACATTATTATGTATTAGGGGCCTGTAGTCTAGCAGTGGGTTGTCACATGGTGATAATATTGATGACAAGCTCTGCGGAATTGAAACTGCCTAAAAAACTAACATTATCTTTGTATTACATTTCCAGATTGAAGTAAAAATAGATAAACCAAAGAAGAAACGTAAAGTGACGGACTTCTTTGAGCAAGAGGCTGAGTTGACGAGTGAAGATGAATGGGTGGGGTCTGGTGATGAGGATGAGAAAGGTCTGGACAGGATGGAGAGAGAAGAAGGAGACGACGAGGTTTTCCACCAGGGAAAACTGCGAAAAGAACTGGGACAGATACATATGTATGTATGAGTACTTGTATTAATACTGTATTAGTACTTTTTATACAGTTTGTAATTAATTTTTTTGGTGTCGTTCTCTAATTATTGTCTTTATGTAAACAACAAGAAAATTTCTCACTAAACATGACTATATAACGCTATACTCGTTGATCTTGGGCACGTAGTTTTTGATTCCCGTTTTATGTTTTTTGAAAATTCGCAGTAGTAACATGAAATCTGGAAAACAATCTCTCCTTCCGCTTTTTGTTTCACAATAATTGCAAACAACAGTTAAATTTATGTTCATAAATATGCTTTCAGGCGTGATGTACTGGACCAAGACAAGAGAGAAGTGAGATTGATACAAGAGTTGTTGTTCGAAGACGGTGACCTCGGCGATGGTCATCGCCAGAGGAAATTCAGATGGAGAAATGCAGGTAGATTTCCACACTTACATCACAGTTAAACATTCAAATAGATTTATTAATTGTAAACATAGGTAACATTAGAGTCTTAAATAACAAACAGAAAACATAACTGATCAGTTAGCTAGTGCCAACTGAGACAGCACCATTAAACTGAAGGGTTTTCGATACAACTAGCTTCTGACAAATAAGTAGCCTATGCCAGATCATAATGTACCCTGTTCCAAAGTTCATCACACTCTGAAAGTTATTTTGGAAATGTATTTCATGTACAGGATTGAACATTCTACAGATTTATTAAAAATGTAGATTTTATGTGTTGACTGGCTCATTGGCAAATTGGTCGCAAGTGCGACTGTCTGGCAAGAGGTTTCGTGTTCGATTCCCGGGTCAAGAAAAGTATTACTGGGTTTTTCAAAAATCCCAGTAGTACATTTCAATACTTTAAAAAATCTATAATATCAGACACTATCCGTGTCCTCCTTGCTTTACTTAGGTGCAGCTCTAAATAGGATCAGAACACACTTGAAAGTTTTAATTCCCCTGGTATTGCCCGCGTCCACACACGGCACTGATCGCTTTCCATAAGTTTATCTGTCTTATCGTATGCCGCCTATCACATGAAAACCAAACTATTGAACCTGGGGCCTTAGCCAAACGCCACTTTAGCGCTTGGCTACAGTGAGAGTAGAAATCAAAATGTATGGGAATGACACTGACAAGTGTCAAAATTTACGTCAATTCCATATAATTTGGTTTTCTATTCTACATGTAGACAAGCGCTAAATGGCATTTGGCTACAGCTGCTGGACAGAATTAAATGCATTTCATTTTGTATTACATATTTTTTTCCATTTGCAGGTGATGATGATGATGCTGGTACGGTACCAGACGAATTTGCCGATACGCAAGAGGAAGAGTTTGAGTCGGAGGAACAATGGAGGAAACAGAGGCATGAACGTGAAGTTTATTTGAGGCAAATGGTTAGTAAAACATTTGTTTTACAAATATTATAAACTAGCTTCTGCCAGCGGGTTGGCCCGCGTTCTAGTGGGATAGAAACCGGCCTAAGTTTATTTCCAGACCATAACCTACTCCTGTTTCAAATTTCATCTCCGTCTTTTCAGCCGTTTAGACGTGAAAGAGTATCTAACAAACACACACACACACACACACATCCTCACAAACTTATAATATTAGTAGGAGTATTTCATAAAAAAGTTACAACAACATAACATCACGCCCTTTATCCTCAAAGGGGTAGGCAGAGGTGCACATTATACCACTGTACAATGTAACACCCACTTTTCACTATTTATGTTATGAGTCCCATGTAATAGGGGGTGAGCCTATTGCCATATACCGGGCACAGTTCCAGACTAAGTGCTACTACTGAGAATATTTTTAAAACCCAGTAATACTTTGCCCGACCCGGGAATCAAACCCGAGACCCCTTGCTCGGCAGTCGCAATTGCGACCACTCGGCCAACGAGGCATAAAAAAGTTATATAAATAAAAGATTGGCTTTAATTTTTTTTTACACATTGAATTTCTATGTTAGCTTATATGAATAGGTTTGACCTAGGCAACAATGTGTTCCTTGGGATTCGATTTAATCATAAATTGCTAAAAGTAGTTGCCACATTAATACCTACCTACTACCATTGTGTCAACAGTTGCTTACTTAGTTTAACCAATGTTTATTTACTTTAATTATTTTACTATTTAAATGTATGTTACACTTTTTATATTTATGTACTTATCAACAAAACGGTCAGTAGGATGACCCCTGTAACACAGGTTTACCTAGCATGCAACTTTGACAAATTGTTACGTACTTATTTCATGTAGCTTTAAATAGTGCATTGCATTGCTAGATCAGTCAGTAATTATGTATATACTAAATATTTTCATGAGTTCACAAGAGCCACCTATAGTATTGTTAGTATTTAAAACTTTAGTAGTGGTATTTTTTTTGTGATATTATGTTTAGATTTCGTATGTATAATGTAACTTTCGTATGTATAAAGTAATTTTGTATTTTGAAATTTTATATTATGTAACTAATTTTGTCGTATTAGGCTAAGTACCTGTGAAGATTAAATTAGCTGTTTTTTGATATAAATAAATAAATGAATGAATTCTAGATAAGTGTTCTGATCTTGTAATGTGTACTTCTTTGTTTTGAATAAACAATTTATTATTATTATCTCCTATATAATATATTCTCCTCCTATAAATAGCGCTCATTAATTTTTCAGCAACAACAAGAGGAAGAAAGCTCCCTAAACGTCAGTGTGAACAGAACGACGATAATTAAAGCCAATCTCTTGTCAAAGTCCATGTCCACTCTGCTTCAAGAAGTCAATCAGACGAAAACAGAAGCTACCGAGGTCACCGTCGTTCAAGAAAAGAAGACTGCTAAAGATATACCTAGTCCAAAGAAATCTTATTCTATTTTCCAGGTAAGATAATTGTTCTATGTTTTTACCCCTTTGAGTACCGTCATTATAGACACAATTAAAGAACAATAGGTGTCCTCGCGGTGTTTGACAGTTTAAAATAATAATTTTAATATACATCTTACTCACGTGAACTTATTATGAAAGCTGTACTAGTTTCAAGTCGCAACTATTGTTGCGTAACGTTGCATGCGCTACGTCATCGCGCTGCATACGCTGCTAATGAATATGACTTCCGATCTAACTTGAAACTAATAGAGCTTTCCTTCTGGAGCACAAAGTGTTGCGAGTTCATTTCCTTCGCGCAAGAACTACTTGCGTGTTCCATAAATTGTTGGGTAGGACAACATTTTGCATCTATTAACTCGTTGAGTACCGTCATTATAGACACAATTAAAGAACAATAGGTTGCGCTCGGTGTTTGACAGTTTAAGAATTGGTTTTTTATATTCCGTATCTCATAATATTATTCTATTTCAGCAAAGTTACCATGGATCATTACTAACGCGTGGTCAAGGAGCTCTCGCACGACTAGCAGCGCTGGCAACGCCTTTAGCTACAGATGATGACTCTCCAAAAATAGGATCGCTAGCAACACATAAGCGAAACTTTGTCTTTACTTCTATAACCCCCGGCGAAGATGATGTACCAAAGGTGTGTATGAAAGTACATAATAATAATAAATGGTGTACTAGCTTTCAGCCGCGGCTATACTCGTGGCGAAAAGGTAGCCTACGTCCTACTCCCAACTGTATGTATTCCATATTACTAGAAGTTTAGTTGAGTAAATAAAGCATGAAGAAAGTAACAGATCAACTTACTTTCGGATTTATAATATTAGTTGGAGTATCTATGTAGTTAAGAGGTTCTCATTAGGGTTGGTTTCACAAGTTGGACAATAGGCATTGAGATTTTCAAAAATTCTCAATAATAGCACGCAATCTAGAATTATGTTAACTCGCCTACTAGATAGAACTTACAACCGAGGTAGGAAAAGTGGACTCAAGAAACAAAAAACGTTCCGATAAAAAAAATGATTTATTGGTTGCAGGTAACAATAAAAAGGAAAGCTGACGCACCACAAGGCACACCGAAGTTAATGAAGAAACTGAAAATTGAAGAGAAAACTGTTCATACCAAGAGTAGTCTATTAGATCATTTGAAGCTATAGATTAATTGTTATCCTAAAACTAATGTTACTAGATGTTTAACGAATGAAATTGATAGCCGGTCTCAATCTAAAATCTTTAAATTGATCCAAATTTTTGACAGAAATTCAGTGATGTCAAAAATCCAGAATTTTTTATTGATATTGGCTATATTAATTTTAGCGGTAAATCTGTATATTGAAATTGTCTATTAGGATTATATTACTCTGGATTGTTCAAACTAATTATGACATATTTTTAGAATAAGCCTTGAAATGTATCATAATAAATAACTTACATATTTTATTTAAGAACTAAAATGCGTTCAAGACTGAAGGTGCTGATGTAAAATGCGAACATTTGTTGTGAATTGTATTATTTGTGTGATAAATTAAAACTATGTGGGAAGGTGAGAAACGCACCTAAAATATAGAATTTTATACTTGAACAGTTGACTGTAAAATATTAAATAAATGTAACTATAGTAGTATAAGTCGATAAATTAAATATAGAATAATAAAGTTGATATAATTTAAATGATTATGCTTATTCTTGTTTTCAATGCGCTCCTGTTCTTCTTATTTCCCGACATCTCCTAGGCCTGTCAAGAATTTTTCTGGTAAAGTATAACCACCAACTAATGCAAAAAAGTACTTCGTCTTATGAGTGGCATATTTTGTAGAAGTGTAGAAAGGAGTTTATTACCTATTATTTGAAGAACTGAAGCTGTCTAGCTCAGTAATATGTTTAGAAATAAATAAATTCAACTAAAGTGAAATGAATGCGAAAAACTAACTTTTACAACGACGTAACACTCAACACAGTAGAGTCCACATAATTTTCAGCTCAATGCACCTATTGGACTAATTTCAATACTCAATAGTTTTAGGACTGCCTCATTGGCCGAGTGGTCGCAAGTGCGAATGCCGGGTAAGAAGGCTTTTAAAAAAGGGTTACTGGGTTTTTAAAAATATTCAGTAGTAGCACGGAGTCTGGAATTGTGCCCGGTATATGGCAATAGGCTCACCCCCTATTACATGGGACTCAACGTAAATAGTGAAAAGTGGGTGTTACATTGAACAATGTCATTAAGTGCCGTAATGTACACCTCTACCTACTCCTTCGGGGATAAAAAGGCGTGATGTTATGTATGTATAGTTTTAGTACTTACCTATTGTTAACTTACTAATTTGACCTCTGGTTTAGGACTGAGCACAATTTTAAACAAAAAGTAAATCTGTGGGTACACCTCACTCTATATTTGCTGTGATAATAGGTAGTATTCTACACTCGGTCTCAAATATTATAGAATAGACAGATATAAAATATATTTTTAGGGATTATTTAATATTGTAATATTGCAAAATCTAATGTAGAAAAACAACAACACCTCATCGCACAAAATTTGTTTTATTTTTTTTCTCAGTTAATTTGGTTTATAAATACTTTAAAAAATATAAAAACTAAAAGGTAACTAAATTTTTGTTCCACAACATTTTATATGTGCTAAAAAGTAACTAAGTATGTACTAAGTACTTTTCCTGTTCTGACGAATGCATTTAATGCGCCACAATACCTACTTCATTTTCATTAGATGATTATTTTTGATTGATTGCTTTAATTTTTAAATCTGGCAAAATAATTGCGAAAATATGGTAATAAAATATAGTTTTATAATGTTGGAAACATTGATATCAAGCATATCCTTCCGTTTGGTATCTCGTTTCTTCTCGTGTCCAGTAAGTTTATCTATCTCACTCTTTAACCAATCAGCAACCTCAATACGCCGGCTATCTCTGTCAGCTGGTCGCGTTTTCTCCGGTGCTCTGTGTGGCGTTTCGTTCGCTTTCGCTCGCGACCGGCTCAATCAATGCTTTTTTTCTGTGCCGGAGAACTGTTTTTATTATAATTTAGTTATATTAGTCTAGTCAAATAAATCAGAAAAGTGCTCCGAATAAAACTACAGATAAAGTATTGAGATGGCGAGTGGAAATATTGATATCAGCGACATCGTCAAGAAATGCAGAGTTCTTTTGTTGGATATTGAAGGAACCACAACATCGATCAGCTTTGTTAAGGTAGGTCTAACGATTGACCGGCCGGTGTTTTGTTTTAACATGTGTTTTTGTGTAACTGTTGTTCATATAATATATATTTTATTCATAGTAATTTTTGCCAGCATTAAAACACATGATCCAACATGCAAAATGGTCGCAATTTCAGATTCGCAACATGGAGGACGAAATCAAAATGGTACCCCTTTTATGTTCCTTTCATTGTCTGAATTATCCACGTGTTCTTAACGTATTTGCTAGTTACTATTATTCTTCTTTCATATTCAATGTAAAATATTCATCCTTTTTTGCTTTACTTTTAAAGTAGGTACCTACCTATATACATTTATTGATTTATTTAACCGAAAGAGATGTAATAGTTGTATAGGGTAAGCTTTCTATTCATCTCGTAGCTTAACTGGTATCTAAAAACTTATTTGAACCCTCATTTTTGTTACTAGAGAGTACGTCTTCAAGTCGGTCATGTTGCGTGCTATCACACCTACCGGCGTGAACAGCTGTTTCAAGCAGCTGGCTGGTAAAAAAATGTGGAACAATTAACTGTCCTCTTTCAATAGCATTGAGCCCATATAGGCTGGCCTTGTCGCACTCACGTCACGATATACAATTGTGAAAGAGACAAAAATAATAGAAGTGGAGTTTTGTTGGAAGCTTTACCTCGATATGGTTTCGAATTTACGATTTTCTAGTCCAGGGAACACCTACTAAAAACTCGAGTTTTTGATAATACGTAATTACTTTGTTTACCTATTTGGTCTACTTGAGTAAAGGATAAACACATTACCTATCACAGGTACCTATGCCATACCTATCACAGGTAGAGCAAAGTAGGAATATTTTTATGAAAATCAAGTCGGGAAAGTGACGTCATGAAATTGAAGACTGTATTATTTTTTTATTTATTTCTGGGTGTCCTGGTATGTCGACTGGTTACCTGAATACTAATCTTAATCTCCGCCTTTTCTTCGTACAAAATGAGGTTAACTTTTACGTGTACGTATAGGGTTGTTACATTAGAATGAACGTAGGTTTACAATAGATAAATAAAATGTTTTTTATTTGATTTAGGTATCTATTAATTAACTAATACCCCTTTTGAATATAAGATGCCTCGCCTCCAATCGCAGGCATCAACTCGTCATCAGCTGTTTACAGCTGATTCATGTGTTTTCCATTCATTTGGATTTACGATGTCAAATGATTTGATCACTCTGGTTTTTAAACCGTTAATAACTGTTTCATACGTAGCGATGTCTTACAGTTGGTTATTTGAGTATCTACGGTGTTTTAGGGAGTCCATTTTGAACCCTAAAGTCTTCTAAAAATTCCCTACAGGTGGGACAGCTAAGGATCTTACATTTAGATCGACGACGACAGTTTTTTCTTTTTGTAGAAGATTGCACGTATCGTCTGTGGAATAATTGGAGCATGTCTTTGTATAACAATGCAATGTTGGGTATTATCTGTGCTGCGTCCCTACCGCGGGTGCCGCGGGCTGGGTCGCTCGGCTAGGTAGGCTCACTATCCGGTTTGGACACCGGCGGCAAGTCGCGCAGTTCGTTCACCCATGGACTTGCCGCATCGTAGACTATGCAGTTTCACCAGGGCATAGTGTTATGCAAAATTTTAGCTATTGTGGGTATTTTTTAAATAGGCGTAACACGCCCAAAGACTCCGTAAACATGTAAACATCTGTTGTTGAGTACCTACTGTCTATTTAAGGAGGAATGTGGGTACCTACTTGCCCTATAGGAATGCCCTATAGGAATGTAAACTTCCACTAATTGCTACTAAATCTATATTTTAATATACCTTGTAAAATAATTGCTAGCTGCTTCCAAAGGGATTAAGTCCTTTCTTCGAACTTTTTAATGGGAAGATTGGATAACTGGGTCTTATTTATTACTCTTATTAGATGTCTGCACGACGAAAGTACCTATTAGAAAACAGTACTTAGTACATAAGCATATCTCGTTTTACTAAACTCTTGAATTACTTACGATAGGAGATTTGTGTGGGTACTCGGTGCCCAAATGTATTTCCCTATTTCGAATAGAGGCAGGTCTTTTAATATAACAACCTCAGGCCACTTAACTAGTCAAGAACATCCGACAGAAATAGATACCTTAGTTGGTTTCATTAAAATTCAAGTACTTTAATTATCCCAAAACTGCGACTATAGTGAATTTTTTTCCTATTAAACCACAATATTTCATGAATGGAAAGTTGTAAGAGTAAAACTGACGAATCATTTTTGAGAGAATTGCATGAAATACAACTTTGTTGACCATATTTTTACGATAAAACTTACCGTTTTTGAGAAAAAAGGGAGAAACTAATTTAGTACTGACCTTAAATAATTTTTTTTGGCAAACTTGGGACCGATGGGACTTTTGACTATTTGTGTATAATGATTTAGTTAACGTCTCTGCCAATTTTCAGCTCTATGCGAATGATGTCTAGGTCGCGGCTTATTTGTCTATTTTCACCGGGCTATTAGAAAAGATGTTTGTTCAGAAGTGGTCGTATTCTGGCTGACAGAAGATCAAGAGTGTTGGTTGTATTCATAATGGTACTAAAACTCAACGTAGTACACGGGCAATCCATATTTTTTGTTATTACAGTCGAAAAGTAATAAAAACCGAAGTAGCTTTGTGAGAAAGAAAAGGTCACAAATATTGTTTTAACAATATTATTCAAGACAGCGCCTTTAATACGCAGAACATGGAGTGCTGCCATATTCCAAAAGTACAGAAATAACAAGACCTTTAAACTTCAAAGGCTCATTGTTTCAGCTCTTAAAATGTTACTGAGGGAGGTTAACAACTTCACAGTTACTACCTATTTATGTTTTAAATATCTAAGATCTATGTTTCAGAGGTTTATGTTTTCGAGTAGAAATTGAGATTCAGTTATGGGACCAGCATGTAGTTGTAATTCGTAGTGTATTTGAATAGAAATGAGGGTCTATTCGTATTAGATGTAAACTATATACTTAGTAATGGTGCCGTAGCCATGAACTGTGTGATCTAAATAATACGGACCTAAGAATGTAAATGCCCACCGCAGTATAATATTATCAACGACATCATCTTTGTATTTTCATCTTAATTTACGTTATTCTCGGTTCCGATTCAAACCATGCTAACGTTGCTAAATAGGGTAACGATTTACGATCAAAGTTACGATTTGCATATCCTCGGTTTCAAGCTGTGGAACTAATTCGGTAAAATGCCTGCGTTATCTCATATCATACCTACCTATAGAGATTGGTCAATATGCAGTCGCGTTGGTCCCGAGAGCGCCAGACGTACGGGAGGGCTGAGGGTGCTTTCAACATACGCCCCTATCGAAATCATACCTATCTACCTCTAAACATTCACCGAAATTAAGCAGATAGGCAGATTGCTTATAACAACGAGCTTAAGCAAAGTTACATTCACTGTGACAAACCGTGATTTCTGTCATGGGATATGGAAACAAATCACGGAAAACGTGAATTATGGTGCTTTTGGGACCGATTCAGTTGCCTGTTGACGAAATACTCATTTAAATCTAGATGTCATTCGTTTCCTTTTATTTTTTACGTGATTAATCTAGCCTTTTTCCTCCATATAACACCTTTTTCACTGCCGAGGAAGCACCTATTCTCAGCAGCAATTTGTATCTCTTGTAACTAATGCATAACAATTAACAGTATTGAATACCAGGGGACTATTGCTTTACATTTTTACAAGGCATTGATGCTATAAGATTTTTTTTCCAACAACAACTTGAATCAGAAATTGTACTCTATGGTTATCAAATTCCCGATTCATTGTCGTTGACTGGCAATCTGATAAAGTGCCATATTATTAAAAAATCATCAATCAATCATGAATTTAACTGAGCATACCTCAGTTAAATTCATGATTTTAGCGTACGGAAACTTAGCGGCCACAATGTTGTTGTAAATTCATGCCTCATTCATTGCGTCCTAAAGCGAAGTTGAGTGAAATAGGTAAAACAATATAATAACATACAATAAAAATAATATAATATGGCTTATTGAAACTGATGAGTTTAGCTGTCTTTAAAACTGTGTAATCATTTTATACTCTAAACAAACATTGATACTATAGCCATGAGAAATGGTTACGTTATGAAGATTACAAATAAATAACACTAGGTATTGACTCCTCTTTATTGTCTTAATCATTGAAAGAAGTCTTATATTAAAAAAATAGCACCTAGTTCAATTTTCTGCTTGTAACTGTTTTACTTGTAATCAAATAGGTAATAGTAACCAAATATCTGGCAAGAATTTTTATCGGTTCGATATATGTAAAATGTTGCATAATCCTAATCTACCGCGTCCTAAATTGAGAAACATCTTCACGCTGATAAATAGCTACTTGTGATCGGCACACAAATACCATTACGTTGATTTACTATAGTAAATGGATAAATGATCGGACTGAAGTAAACAAGCTGTTTCTTTTGTTCCAGGACAAGCTGTTTCCGTACGCAGAAGAAAATGTTAAAGATTTTCTAACCAACCAATGGGAGTCCGAAGATGTGAAGGAGGCAGTGACGGCGCTCAGGAAACTGGCGCTGGAAGACAAGGAGAACAGCGTGGATGGAGTAATCACCATTCCAGGAGAGGTAATTTCATAATGTGATTTAATGAAGCACTTGGTTTCATCATTAGCTCCTCGTTGTTACGTTTGCGTAGGCGTAGTCTCCTCTTCAGAAGATGTTGGTTATTTACTGGTCGGTCGTCTACCCTGACAATAGTTCGTCGATTCTACGAATGTGACCGGCTCATTTCCACTTCAGCTTCATTCTAAGGATTATCAAGCTTGAAGTAACAATGAGCCATTTGTTTTTGTTCTATTGACATCTGATTCTGTAAAATCCTATTGTTTACGTATTTAAATGAATTGGCTTGTTCCTTGCTATTTACAGTACAAATTAGACGGACTAAATCTAAGTAAATGTTTCTAAAGAAAGCTGTCGCTCTAGCAGAAAACACCATTTCGATCCCAAAAATCGATACTTAGCGAATATTCCTACTCCATACTCATTACTCCAATCAACTACAATTAAAAAGATAAAGCGCAGTGTAGGTCTGAAATCTACTGAATGAAAGTGGCCGTATACAATAATGAATCATATGTGTTCAAGCAATATGGCTTCCTCACTTACCTTGGCAAGTTCAATGAATAAATTAAAACTAATAGTTTACGTTTGAGTTATTCACATAATCACATTCATTATTATTTTACGTCTCGGAAACGTGTTTTGGCGTAGCATTGACATTTCCCCTTTTTTATCAGCATAAGGTCAAGAAACTGATAGGTTAATGACTTTGATTTATTGATAGTGTACATTACAATGCTTCGATTTTGTATAACCTATTGTATTGAATGAATAGTTTTAAGGCAAGTTTATCTTGTTAGATTAAGAGACCAGTTTAGGTGTGGGACAGCCATGCTTTGTCTTGAATGGGCCAGCTACCACGGCCTCACAGTTAACTGACGTGAAACAACACTTCCGTTGTGTTTCGTCGTGTGAGTGAGGTTACCGGAGGCTAATTACACCCCTCCACAATCTCCTCAATACCCGAATCCCCACTAATCTTCAAATTACTAATCCCTAAAAGGCCGGTAACGCACTTGTGACACCCTAGGTGTTTCGAGTATCCGTGGGCGGCGCCGATTGCTTGCCATCAGGTGATCAGTCTGCTCGTTTACGCCGGTAAACCATAAAAAAAGTTTCCAAGCTAGAATTTCAGAGATGGATACGTAGACAAATTATATTATTGGTCCCAGCTTTGTGTACATCAACAAACTTAAACTGGCTAATTCAATGGGTATTCGATGGGTACACTTCTGACTAGCCACTCGTGATACAAATGACTTGATGATCTAAAGATCTGAAACGTCTAGAAAATATCTGGAAAATATTTTGCTAGTCAGAAATGATTTTAATTCAGCCACCTTTGCCCTTTGGGGTGTGGCACCGGTACACACTTCCGTCATTTTCCTTAAAGGAAAAGACGGAAACACGAAAGTAATTATACTTCACGTGTTATTCAACAAAGAGGAAAGGTTCTACCTAAATGATTATAAAAAAATATATTTACTGAAAAATCTCTAGACTTTTTTCCAAACTGCACAGATTCTACCTACATGGTCATTTCCAATATGTACCTAGTACTACTAGGCGCAACCGGAACTGTGTTTTGGTACGAACATTTCTGCCTCACGTATCATTTCAACACACCTCCCGATCGATACGTGCCGCCTCAGAGGGGGTATCGCAAATGTCTACAATTTTGTGTAAAGCAAAAATTATGTAGCGATGTAAGATATATTTAAAACTTAGAAGTATAACATTCAATTCTAGAATAAATCCACAATTTGGATGTCTACTAGTCGGAGAACGAACATTGAATATTTTGACAGTTCGAAAAAAGTATTGAATTCGACTTGTTGGCAAGTACCCAAATACAGCCTTGTCAAACCAAAACAAAACGGCAGTCGTTGGAGATCGTTTCTTTTGACCATATAAAAAAAAAGTGTAATTACACCTGATTGCCACCCACAGGGCAGAATAGAATTTTTAGCTAACGGTTTATTGTTTTGCGTTTCAGGATGCCTCTAAGGAAGATCAGATTGAGGGTCTTGTAAAGAGTGTGAAGTGGCAGATGTCTTCCGACCGTAAAGCCGGCCCACTGAAGCAGTTGCAGGGTCTTATCTGGAAGCAGGGGTATGACAAGGGAGACATCAAGGGACAGTAAGTTTTATAATTTTTAATTTACCTATCTTAAGCTGTGTTTAGGCTAGGAGCGCCAAGCACGAGCGGACTACGAGCCGAACACACAAAGATCATTGTTCTCGAATGCCGCAGCTGTAGGTACGTCCACACTTGACGCTGGGAACGGCTCCGCTCGTGCTCGGTTTGTCTAGCGTAGATCCGCTTCTTCATTTTCAACTGGAAGACAACCACACTCGGACGTCGCCATGTTAAAAGAAAATCCAGGGGTCAGTGGATGCAAGTGTGGTCAGTCCTATTTCGTCAGTATCGATGGTAGTGGCCTATTGTAAGTACTATCTTCTTCCAGCGGTTTCGAAAAGAAAACAAGCATACCACGAGAATGTTTAGTCGAGTTAATGTTTGTAGTCCAGACTATAAATCTAACTCAGTACCATCCAGAAATTCAGATGTTAAGTCATCCTGGCCTTTAACAAAAATGTGTGTGTATGTCCGTTAAATAAATACATTAAGTAGACTCAAAATTTTTGAATACAATGATGAACTCTGGTCTTTTTTTATTGAAGTTTTTTTTTGTATTTTATTTTAAATAATTTATTATGATAAATACCTTACGTGTATTGTAAATTAAAATGTAAAATAGAATACAATTGAAAATGACTGTCGCAGTGAATCAATTTTCAATACTTAATAAATTAATAATGATAAAATGAAGAGGTTGAATATAACAAAGTATTTACCATAATGTTCTGACAAAGCTGATGCTGTGAATAATGTTTGAATAATGTTTTTCTTAAATGTGTCGTTGAAGCATGTCGAAATTGTTAATGGAAACTTTGAAGCAGTCTCGATAACATAATCAAACAAAACATAATTGATGTATAAAATACAAAATATGTGAAATGAATTCTTATTTCAGTTGTGTGAGCGTAATTTTCTTGAAAATTCCAGTGTGTACGATGATGTGTCTCCCGCGATGGACTTGTGGCGCTCTGTGGAAGGCCAAAAGATCTACATCTACTCGTCTGGATCAGTCCAGGCGCAGAAACTTCTCTTCGGCCAGTCCCTGGCTGGAGACATGTTGAAGTACATTGACGGACATTTCGACACCGCTGTCGGTGCCAAACAGGAGACTTCGAGCTACTCTGCCATCGCTGAGAAAATCGGTTGCAAGCCAGAAGAAGTCCTGTTTTTAACTGACATTGTGAAAGGTATGTTATTCTTTATAAAATTTAGAAGATCAGTGTTATTTTACCTGGTTTGTATAGTGCTTGATATTTGAATTAAATTTGCACTTGCCATCAATATATATATTAAGCTACAATTATAACACAATCATTCAAATATTTCTAGCACAACCTATCATTCCTTTTTATCATAGTTATAATTTAGCAGTTTTTACCCCTCCTAAGATCATCTAAGCTTTCTACACTTGTAACATTCAATAAAGAAGGCTGGTTTCAAGTCAGTTATTTATGATTGTTGTTAAAATTGAAGCGACGTGTTGATCATCAGAGGCGGAGGCCGCGCGTGCGTGTGGCATGCACTGCGCACTGGTGAGCCGCGAGGGGAACGCAGCGCTCCCAGACGAGGCCGTGGCGGCCTTCCCAGTGCTGTACAGCCTGGCCACCCTCGCCAATCCCAACAAGCGCAAGCCCGACGCCCAGGTGCCCCTCCGATGATACCCGATACCCGCCATAGCACGCCTAATGCATGCACTCTGTAGTTATTTCTCTGTGTAGACGACTAGACGCGACTCGCCGCTCTACCGCAGGTGAGTACGTGTGTAGATGGTTCTGGTTGTTGTAATGGTTTCTGTGCATAGTACAGGTCATTTTTGTTAACTATTTTAAACAATTTGATAAATTATGAAATCTATAATGCTTATCATAGTTTGTATTTCAGTTTAATAATTCAACTATAGACTGTCTGGCTCTACAAAGTGACATATTCTGTACCTTCAAATACAAAAGAAATGGAATCATTTATTGGTTTGTTACATAAAACAAATTAATCTTCCTGCTTAGTATTGAAGGTCGTAAAAGTAATACATGTTTATATCATGATAGTGGTTTAGTTGTTTCTGTGCACAGGGACTATTACGCTTTCATATGCTTCTGGCATAGGCTGTGTATATGTTAAGATTTATAGTTTATTTTGTTAGTTACGTAAACATTAATGGCAATAATAAAGTATTAAGCAAAATATTTTCCGTGTTTCAAATTATTCTCACCTCTCTCTATAGACTAATTTTCAATAGTACTGAATAGTACAGGTTCCTAGGTTCACATGGAAATATACTAAAGTGTTTTATGTTATCTTTATTATGTTTAATTAATGGTTGTCTGAATTTAGCTTTGGTGACGGTACCTACATATTGTAATGCTTAAGTGTGGTCAATCTGTCTATAATTTTGTTTATTCTTTCCTGCTATATGTTGGTTTGACTAAAATAGTATATTGCGGCTTTTCCTTGGTACTTCTTACTTTGTTATGTGATGGAAAAAGAGGATGAGCATGTTATAAATTAAATCCGAGTCTTGTCTCCTATAAATTGGCGAATTACAAAGGAATCTGAGATTTTGCGGTTTTTATGCCTCTATTTGTTGATATTGAAAGTACAAATGGAATTTGTCAAGCCTTTACTCTGTTTTGTGGAGCTCGTAATGTTTTTATGTTAGACTATTTTAATTTTGTAACAAACTAAACTAGTAAGTACCTACTACAAACAACATTTTATTGTGCGTGTTACTAATTTTATTTATTTATCTAATTACAGGATGAACAACCTGCGAAAGTTCTGAAAACCGATGTGGATGCCGATGTAAAAACACCTTTGGAAAAAACAGAAGTTGCTGCCGAAGTTAAAGAGTCAACTGAAGCGGCGGCGCCTGAAGAAGTAAAACCATCCGCAGAACCTGATGTACCCACTGAGGAGAAGGCACCTGAAAGCGACACGTCGGCTAAATTAGAACCTGTACCAGTCAATGGTAATTCTGATGCTACTGCTGCAGAGCCAGAGGCACCAAAACCAGCTGGCGAACCAGAAAAAATGGACGTTGAAATGGAAGTTGATGAACCTGCAGCCGGTACGCAGGACAAAGCGTGTCAAGCTACTGAAAAAGTTGAAACCACTGTTGAAGAAATTACGGATGCAAATGAAATAGAAGCCACCCCTGCTTGCGACATTGAACCCATCATTGAGGAGAGTAGTGAAAAGACTGAAAACACAGAGACTGACAAAATGGAGACAGAGTCTTCAGAATCTGTTCCTGAGCCAAAAGAAAACGATGCTGAACGACTTAAAAATGGACATAAGGATGCTCCTGTTGCAGAAGAAACTCCTCCAACTTCTGTTATTACAGAAATCAAGGATGTCACTAACGACAAAGAGGAGCTGAACGAGGTTACTGAAATGATTGAAGACATCGAACCCGTTGTCGAGGAACCTCCATCTACCCAGGATATGGAAGATCTGCAGAATGTTGGCGAAGTACTTGAGAAAGAATGTGACGAAATATTATCGAAGGTTCAGGATGTCACTAATTTGGATAACATACCAATTAAACCTTTACTAAACACTATTGCTGAAGAAACGATGGAGACTGAAAATACGGATTCAAATGATATAGTTGAGAGAATATTGGACACCGAAATGGAAATGGAATCGAAGAAAACTGCAGAGAAAACCACCAATACTTCAGAAGAGTCTGTAGAGAGCAAGGTTGAACCTGAAGCTCCAGCTGATAAAAATGATAAACAAGAAACAAAAACAGAAGATAAGGGCACTACAACTGAAATGTCCGAGGATAAGCCAAAAGAAGATGTAGCTGAAATTAAAACAACAGAAGAAAATGTAGATAGTAGTAGTCCTAAGACTACAGCAACGGAAGAAGCCACTGTGGTGGTAGAAGAAAACGAAACGAAATCAGTAGATAAAGTCGAAAATAAGATGGAAGAAGATAGTAGCACGCCTAAATCCGAAACAGAAGAAAGCAAAACTGTAGTAGCGGAAGTTGAGGCTAAAACAGTAGTAGCTGAAACGAAGGTAGACACAGAAGAAAAGAAAGTAGTTGATGATAAACCAGAGGTAGAAAAAGTAGAGCCACCCACAGAACAAACTAAGGTAGAAACAGATACCCCAGCAGAGCCTAAGGAGAGCGAGAAAGTTAATGAAGAAGCCAAGCCTGATAGTGAACCAAAAGAACAAACCGAAGCGCAAGTAAACGGTAAAGCTACCAATGGAGATGCTGAAGTCGCAAATCAGAATGGAGATGCCAGCAAAGAGGCTGAATTAAGTGCTCGGCTGTCAATGGAAAATGGAAAAGAGGTGAATGGTGCAAATGGTGACTCTGTAAAGGAGGAGGAGCCTAAAAATGAAAAGAGTGCCGAAGTAGAAGTATCTGATATCAAAGTAAAGAACGTCGCCGTCGACGAGACGCGCAGTGACCCAATAGAGCAGCCCACGGAAGCATAAGATTGTACGGTGAGTTTCATTTTTATAAACTTCAATTTATTCAGAGATTGATTCATTATTTGACTGAGAGTAAGAGCATGATAAGTTATAAATAGTAAGTCTAACGAGAGAAGTATTAGAAATGTTTATTGTAGTTATTTAGTTTAATGCTATTTGGTACTTGCTCCTATTCTCTCGTCTTAGCACCAAGTTGTTTATTAGAAAAACATAATCCTGTAGCATAATAATTTGTATAGTAAATACTGCATAAATGTGTCACTTCCAGAGTCGGACGAGTGGAACTGCAGGGCGTCGTAGCGTTGTTGGTTCACATCAGAAGATTGACAAGACTGAGGTTGCTTCCACGCTAAATGACATCACTTCCTAGTTTATACGTGTATTGAAATTTCACTGTGTACCGCGCGGTGGCGGCCAGTGTGCAGCTCGGGCCAGGATATATATGTCACTAGCACTAACTAGTAGGTGGAGTACGCCCACGACTTGTCAGGAACTTACTCAACATATTACCTTAAATTGTACTTAGGTAACTTAGTATCAATAGTTTTATATGATGCCCCAAGGTTCATTACTTAATTACGCTACAATATCGAACTTGACAAGTCTAATGTGTATATTTTTATTGCTGTACCATTACCATTGCATCTTATTGTATCAGTTCTGCAAGTCTGATAGAAATATCGGCTTTTTGTATTTGTGAGAGCACTGCGATTTCCTGCTTCGTTAAGATGCAGTGTGTACTGGAGATGTGTCTACACGTAAGTTTAATTTTGCTATAACTAAAGTTATGAATGTAAGTCACATAGATGTAAGATCGAAACTTTTATTATTAGACATTCCTGTAAGCGTACAATATATGTGGTAGTATTTTACTGAACTTCTTGCATAATTTCTTGGTTTTGGTACATAAGGGCCAAATGGTGCTTTATACGAGTTGCCAGACCATGCACTATATGCTATTCCATTTTTTCTGTATTATCGTATTCGATTGGGTAGGGATCTAGTAAGATATAATAACTATAGAATTTTCTACTTTTGTCGATGTTGTGCTGTATTACCTAGCGCACATGACCGTTTGATACAGGTAAAGCTCGCCGGTTTTTAGATGTAAACATTTTAGTAAGCTGCGGCGCGCCTTTAGTCGTAGGAACATTTTTGTATATGTGTCGAGGATGTAACCAAGTTGAGTCTTGTCACATCCCGCGGAGCCAGGCGCGCTCGCCACCGGCCTAGCTGCGCACACTGTCCGTCACCGCTTATCATATTTGATCTAAGTAAGTTCTATTAATAAGTATTAACTGTATTGTGATTCTTAATTATCGTATATGTATTACTCAATTTCTTAAACCTACTGCCAAACCTGTCCAGAGCGTGGTCGTTGGTGCCCAAACCACTGGTGTTATTGTGATATTGAACATGACGACGAGACTGGATTGTTCGACGGGCTGTGTAAAGTATTTATTGTGTCGGGAGGCGGGTGCGGGAAGCATGTGTATAGTTGGTGGTAATTATTATTTATTTAGGCATTGTAAAACTTGCTGTATATAAAGTTCTATAATGTACGGATGAACAAATTCTTCACAATACGTATTAAAATGTTGGTCTGGAATTAATGTTAAGATTAGGCGCTTATTTTTGCTATGTACCTTTAAAAGGGTTAGACGAGAGTTATGTGCATGCATTTTTTATCTTGTGTTGTGGTGTTTATATGGTGCAGATACCTCAAGGTTGTGTTTTTCTTTGCTTTACTGAATTTAATTACTGCTGTATCATTCTACTGTCCCATCATTTTGAATAAGCTTTAATTGCATGTTTAAGAAAAATGCCAAACGAAATTGACTGAGAATTTTACAGAACTAGTCTTATTTGGAATCTCGGTATAGTTTTGGCTAATTTTACAAATTGACTGAATTTTAACCATCGGTAGGTACTATTCTTTATTTATAAGTTATATTTTGTTCCTGTGTTAGTTATGTAAGGCCGAAACTGATGTTAGTACAGTATTGTAGCGGCTTGGGGACCAACGGCGAACGATCGGACAGGCATCTTCGTTTAGACTGATTTTTTACTATTCAAACTTCTGTGTTCACCCAGTATCTGCACAATGAAGCTATACGTAACTAGTGTTTCACTCTGTAAGGTAATGGATGAGCATACGATGACTTAACAAATAAGAAAAACTTGACATTTATTGAGTTCGTACATTTTATTGTAAAAATAAACAAGAAATCTCAACTGCGATTGAAATGTATTAATTTTAATTGTCACAACTAATGACGATAAAATATAATGGATGTAGAATTTTTGATTGGTTTTTTATTTTTGTTTGGTTTGTTTTTATGGGTAACCCGAAATACTAGATTGGGTAGAGGAAGAGCAAGTGTACGCGCCGCAACGGTCGCAACACATGGGATTGTATACGAGATGTTTCAACTGTAGCTCTGCGCTGAGCAAACGTACCAACAAGCACACGCCAGGCGTAATAAAAGAATTTCGAAAATCACCTCTACTGCTTTCGAAATAAAGGCGTCAAGGCTACATACATACTTGACGTGTGGTTGATTGTACTACCTACCTAATGTTGCAAACTTATTGAAGTAGATAACAAGTAATAACATCATTATACTCACGAGATTTTTTCAATAAAGTACATTTTATCTATGAAATTAGATCAACAGTTTTTTTTTTCATAGTTTGTACACCTCATTTACAACCTAACACCACATAGAACACATTAAGCGTTTACGTAGGGCAGCATTACCATAATTAAAATCTTATCCCCTGATCCCCTAAAAACATAAAAAGTAGACTGACTGCTGAAATACTTGCGATTAGTTTTAATATTGAACGAAGTTTTCGAAAAACATTTTTTTTCTGTTTAGTAGGTAATTTCCTTTATTATTATAAAACAACAATTTTCTTTATGACAAAAATGATCCAGTCAAAAAGTGTAACGGAAGGTCATAATCAGTGAAGCAAATTCGGCACAAGCGAGTAGAGGAGGCGAGCGGAGCGGGCTGGCGAGGTGATGTGGAGGTTATGAATACAAAAGGTATAGAAACCAACAGCATTGCGGTCGAGGAACGGAACGCCGCCGCACGAACGCCGGGGTCCTATTCTTATAGCCACACTCAATACACCGACTCGCCAATAATATTCCATTCCCATGAAAAACTAACTGTACAATTGCTAGTGCCTATTCTGTTCGTCCGCATTCATTACATGTCGTAAATGTACGAATCAAATAAAACATAAATTGAAGTTGTTAAAACTAAAATAAATACCTAGGTTTAACGGACTATAGGTAGTCTGGAGGTAGGTAATGTTTATTCTGCTAGTGTTAGTGAAGCCATTGATTGGTTAATAAAATGGTTCATTTATTTAAAATGGGTGACAGGCACTGATGCCTTCTGAATTCTTGAGCTATAGAATTACACATTTTACTATCCATTAAATCAAAACGTACGTAGGTATGCTACCTGGAAGCTTCTGAATTTCGCGTCTTTCGAGTCGTAATTGTGTAGGTAGAAGACTCTTCATGAGCTTATCACCCACATAGGTACTACTTTGTGAATTTGTCGTGGTAACGGTCCATTATAAGAATGTTTCGTAAAGAATCAGTTGGGTTTGAAAATTACTATGAACAAATAGAAGTATATTTTGTTTCGTTCATATTTTTGATTTTCTGCAAAAATCGCCAAGAGGACATAAGAAAGGCAGCAAACCCAGTAAAAGGAATAATGAGACCTATTGTTTTCAAGCAACGTGAGATATTCCACGCAGTGTTGGTAATAGCCGCCGCCGGACGCACGGTGACGTCAGGGATTCTTGTGCACGCTTAGCCCGGTGGCTCTGAATCACGCGCCGATGTGTCACCGCCGACGCCCGCCATACGGCCACCACGCTCAACTACTTACAATGTCCATACCATGCCACATTATGAATGTACTTGGAACCAATTCACAACGACTAGAACAGCACCTACTCTTATCAAGCGTCAAACAAATGCGGGTAGGCCAATAAAGATATTAACAATATCGTTTGTGCGCTCTGAAGCAATCTCACTCGAGTTACCGAGTAGTTAAGTACTTTACTATTTACTTTTACTATCATAACTTATAAGATTTTCATATCTACGTTAAAGTAATTAAATGAGGGTAGATTTTCATACACGTGACGGTCCAACCTTGTGGAATATCACCTTGTTTTGATTGTATGCTACGAACTCGCAAAACATTTCAAGGAAATCAACTGGTTTGACTTGCTTTTGGCAAGAGATGGCCTGTGTCTATGTGGTTAATTTCTAATAACTAATTCTAGTATTCCGCTATGTTATGGACTAGTATTTGTTGTTGAGTCGCATTGGATCATACAATCACACAACAATGGAATTTAGTATGAATATAAAGTTCTGTAAATGATAAAGCGTTGCTTCGTGAATAAAAATGAGTGGCCAGCAAGTAGTGTGTCAGTGTGGAGCAACCGGTACGCAGCCGTGGTCTCCGGCGCGGGCCGGTCGCTCGGCCGCTCGGTCGCTCGGCTGACTTGTATTTTTATGTAACTTGTTGTTAGGTAGCGCTGGTCGTTGCGCCACGGTCCGCTCGCCGCCAGCCGACTCACTGCTGTGGCGAATGAATTTGAGGAAAACTGGGCTGCGATAGAGAGAACATTGCCGTTCACATTGCTGGCTCTCGCTGGAAACTATTTTATAACGCGCAGTATTTGCGTTCATCATGCGTTGAGTTTCTTTTTTATGCTTTGCCTGTTGGGAAGTCCGAATAGGACTGTTGGCACAATAAATATGACAAACAACTGTGTATTATTAAAGACCAGAGTTCTGCTCCGACTTAGTTCATACCTTCGATTGTTATTTCTCAACTTACCCAGGTTGCACATGATTGGATCTTGGTGGAAGTATTCTCTCACAATAACACATGAATAGTATTATGAGGGTTTTCAAAATACCAATAAGTATTGCCTATTTTTATCAACTTGTTATGTTG